AGACCAATCTTGTAGCCATACTTGCACAAATAGCGCCGACAGATCGAATGAAAAGTACCCAAAATAAGCCGCGATTCTGATTGTGCGCCGATTAATTTCGCAAGACGCTCCCGCATCTCTCGACTTGCTTTGATGGTAAAAGTGCAACAAATGACGTCTTGGGGTAAGTATCCATGATGTGAGAGCAGATACGCGACGCGTGCGGTTAATGTCTTGGTTTTGCCAGAGCCTGGGGGCGCGAGCACCTGCAAAATAGGTGCATCAGAGGCGACTGCTTCGAGCTGGGCATGATTGAGGCCATCGAGAATAGAATCCATGGCATTTTGAGACCTTTGCGTTCTTGGTTGGTTCCGAGCGGTTTTACCTTGGCGAGTGTGACGCGAATGAGGCGCGATGTCATGTGATCTACATACATGCATGACCTGCAACTTCAAGGTCGACCGCGAACAATGGAGATAGCTTCCAAAAGATTTATTTGACCTTAGATGATAATGTTCTCTATTTAAAGGAAAATGAATTCTCTGTTTTGATGGCGTCCATAATGAAGTCCGGGATGCAGAAAGCCGAACGACCAGTCGACAAATACTACGCTGTGCCTAGGTATTCTTAGATAGAATGGGCTTTGAAGTTTCGAAATAATTATATTCATGAAAGCTTAAACATCTCCAAGTAAAACAATTAGTATGTATTGGCCATCACAAGCCTAGTACTCCAGCCACGTCCGTCCATGCAAGAGAGTATGAAAAGGCTAAAGTCGAGTAACAATGTATGTACAAGAGGGGGAATTGATCACTCGACAGCCTGGGTATCACGCCAACATCAACACAAAATCAAAACCGAGCTTAGCTGAAGATTCCCAAGGGAAGACTGGCAGCTACTTCAAAGTTGGGCACATTGACCACTTCGGCGATCTGAAGGTCTGCGGCAACACTGGCCAAAATGTATGCCTCACTTCGAGTAAGTCCCTTGGTCGAGACTAACCACTGAATAAGGCTGCGGGTGGCACTCTTCGCGGCCTGGTATAGGTCTGGCGACACACCCAAAGCACCGTAGGTTCCGAGGTCGGGGAGAGGGTTTGGTATTTGAGAGCGAGGAGGAGTCTGGTATTGGGGTGCGGTCACCCAGGGCTGGTTCTTGCAAAGCTCGAAACGAAGGGTGGCCTTGATGGGTGTCTCAATAGCGGTACCACAGACTTCACCGTGGCCCTGGGCGGCGTGGCCGTCACCACAGCTGAAGAAGGCACCGGCAGTTTGAACAGGGAGGTAGACGGTAGAGCCAACGCTCAGTTCGCGGCAATCCATGTTGCCACCTGCGTGGGTGGGAGGCACAGTCGACAGCTCGGAGTCGTCGGCTGGGGCGAGTCCCATGCATCCGAGGAATGGACGGAGGGGAATACGCATGTTGTTAAACTGTGCATAACCCTTCTCACGGTCGAGTGACCAGATCTTGATCTCAGGTTCCGGGTAGTCCTCTGCCAGCAAACCAAAGCCGGGGATGATGGCGGACCAGCCCCAGTCGGCAACTTCGAGGTTCAAGATCTCAACCTTGAGGACATCACCAGGCTGGGCGTCTTTCACGTAGATCGGACCGAAGACAGGATTGGCAATGCCGAGATCCAGCGTTTTGATGGCTGAGGCATCCGAGCTTGGGGTGAGTTGACCATTGCTGCTGTCGATGGCATCAAAGCTAACGGTCTCACCGGAAGAGACGGTCAACTTGGGTTCGATTTTCCGAGACCATTTCACATGGCCACAATCGCGTCCAACATGGAAGTTCTTCCATTCGGTAGAAGACATGGCGTTTGCTTGAGTTTGGGTTTGTGTTGAACTCATAGTCGGCGAACCCCAGGCAGGACAGAGCAGAGAGCGCAGCTGTAGGGTACTATGGAAATATTTGTAGGAGTGGGGTTGCGTGTGTACAGAGAAGTCGAAGACGATGAAACAATGGGAAAAGGGAGAGCCAGAGAATTTGAAGTATCCGTACTGGGATCCTCTTCCAGATGTACGGTTAGGGAAGGTGGTTAGTGCCGGATCTTACTCAAGCTTGTTTGCCAGGTGACTCCACTCTTGGGAACCGATTTCTCTGGCCTGCCTAAACGGGAATGACAGGTCACGAATAGTAGGACGAGCGTGCGCCCCTGGGAGCGTTAACCTGTTGGAATTGACTCCGCGCATCGGCACAGACACAGAATCCGCCCGGGGAGGAGAGGGAGAGAAGAGAAGAGGGAGAGAGGGGGGAAAAGGTGGCGGGCCACCCCGACGGGAGGGAAGGGACCTCTCTTATCCGCCAACTTCATAGTGTACGGACTACTCGTAGTATGTATTCATTAACCTTGTCTAGCGGGGTCTCTACCGTCTAACCGAATGGTTCAAGAATGGGTTGTTGGAGATATTTGGAGTATTTTATGGAGTATGTATGGAGTACTGGTTGGGACGGTGCCATCAAGATCACACACCTATGTAGTACATAGTAGTAGTATTGCCGTACTACTACCAATTACAAGTTGAAGTATTTAGACTATCGTTAGGCACCTCTAAGACACTTTAGAGCACTCTAGAAGTCAGTGGGCTAGGATCCATCGCTATTGCTCGGAAAGTCCGAACGACCTCCCTCTTAAGGACACGAGGATGATACGAGCAAACGCAAAGCACGCCACCGTGATCGAGATGAGATTCCCTTAGGGGCAAGCTGGCCGATACAATCCACTGGATTTCGCCGAGCGGGACAATCCAAGTGGACCAAATAGCCCATGATTCAGTCCTATTCGTCCAACCCGAATGTATAACTTATGCGCAACAGCAATCCAGAAAATTCTGTCCCTGGCCCCCCGATCCGCCACAGAAACCACCTTCTTGATCCGGTAAGAATGGAGCCAATCCTCACCGCTGACTGGCCACGACCTCGCTGCATAACACATTCCCCCCAGGGTGGACCTCTTTCTTTTTGGGGACTTTTCGATCCATGTATATTCCTTTTCTTTTCTTTTCTTTTCTGCGATACTCGTACTACAGTATTTTTGAAGAGGGAAAGAGGTTAAACGCCTCGATCCAGGCCCATCCCATACACAAAGATCTCTCTTATCTCCGAGGAGATGAGGCTCCCCATCAACTTGACTGTCCATCTAACAATACGACAATGCAGGTGGCATTGTCGCTGTGCGGGTGATTGGCACTACTGGTGGCAATATCCTGTGCAATATCGCCCGCTCGCATCCCCCGCATCGCCAACTTCATCACATGTTGAATCAAAGCCCCATCGTCGGCCTGGCTACTGACCCCATCCGACACGAGGACCAACAAATAGCGTCGGTTCGATTGCATTGTCCGCCGTGAGGTATACGGGTCGTTGGATACAAAGTCTCCTTGGGTAGGCTTCGATGACGAGGAGGCGCGTCGGTCGCGGAGCATCGAGTTACCATCCTCCACACTGTTCACCGGCGTTTTGTACTGCAGGTCGCCCAGCGCGCGGGACATGTTCAGGGATCCTACTTGCCCGCTCATGCATTCCAGGAATTAGCCCCCTTAGCCCCCGAGTCTAATCAATGCAGGCATCCTCTTACCGACCCTCGGAACACCTTTCCTCATCTCCACGCTACCTCCAGCCTCTTTGATTCGGGCCCGTTCACTAGGCGTCTCGGGCTTATGTGCCTCTGTGATTCGTCGCTAACCCAACCAATGCATTATTGCTATCAGTCTTCCTTCTCTAGTGGAGAGAGGGGAGTCGGAGAAGAGGGGGGTTAAACACCCACGATATGATACGGGCACTCCGTCTTCGGATCCCGCTCAGCCAGGAGAACATGCGAATCGCCCAAGTTAGACACCACTAGCTCGCCTGCAGTAAGGTTAATCAAACAGATGGCTGCGGTCGACCCCGACAGTGCAGGCTCCGCACTATCGTGCTTGAAGCTCTCCAGCAGCAGGCCATCCTCGTCGGCGAGAGCCGCCTTCAGGGCCCCGGTGTAGTCGCCTTGCTTGAATTCAGGTCTCTGGGCAAGTAGGCGGTGCAGCCGTTTGCTTGCGTGGTCTGCAACCAGTCCGGAACCACTACAGCGTCCGATTAGGAAGGTGCCTGTGGGGAGGAGTAGAGAAGTAAAAATGGCAGTCTCACTGTCCATCGTAAATGGCGAAGAACGCCAGCTTGTCTTGAGTCTCGGCGGGGAACTGTTCCGGGCGGATCACAGTATAGTAATCCTCCTGATGATTTCGACTCCCTTGTGCCTGCAATGGTCAGTCTCCTGTTTGGATCGACAGGGACCTTCGCATTCGCATTCGAATTCGATATACCTGGCCAACTCCGGCTTCGAAAAGCGTCACCGCATCCGAGCTAGACATGAGCGTGTTTTGGAACATCTGATCCATGAGTGCTCGGTGTGCGAAAACCATCCTGTAGTAAGAAGCACTGATTATTTTGACGGTCAATGGCCTTCCTGGCCTTCCTTTTTGACTCACGCCTGAGTGACCGACAGCTGGGTAGTGATCGTAGGCTGACATCATGGTGTTTGCCATGCGCACATTTAAGATAGTATCAGTAGTTCAGAGCCTAACAGATAAGTGATGAGAAGCTAGTTCAATTCCCTGTCCAAGTGAACGATGCAAAGTTGATGCCGAAACTCAGTACAGTGTTGGGGGTGTTTAACAATACCTAGATGACACTACTTCAGGTTGTACTACAAGTAGTATATAAATACGCATACTAACCTATGAATATTAGTAAAATATCACCTAAATCAAACGGGTCAAAACGCACACAAAATTACAATCGAAGCAGAGATAAACTCCGATAGATAATCAAGCTGTAAGTTAATATAAAGATGACTGCATCGCGTTGATATCGATCTGGTGCGATGCCCAGGCGATCTCGATCGGAGCGCACGGGCCACCCGGTTCTTTGAGCGAATCTGCTGAGACCTGATGATAATCGATAACCCCGAGCATCACACGACTCCCTCACTTATCCTCTCCCCGTTTTCCCCTGTCAAGTCCAGCTCGGACTGAGTAGGAATGGGCTCTCTCTTCGCAGCCGCCGGATCCATATTCTCTCGTTATACCGGCCGCTCTTCAACCCAACCCTCGACCCCTTCTGCCCCGCCGGACTCGAAATCCGAGGATTCCTCCGAAACTGCTGCCAACGATGCATCGGCGAGTCACGACGGAGATGACCCGAACCTGCCTTCGGTAGAGACCGAGGAAGAATCCCCCCCAGACTACACCTAAGGCATCGGCATCGAGTGCGCCGCCTCCCGTCCTTGCAGTACCAACACTGAACCTGGACGGAGATAGCAACAACAATGGCACATCTAACAACGCAACCTCGTCGGCTCAAGGCCTCAGCGGGCCACCGAAACAGATTATTTACTCAGAGTCCAGCAATGGATCTGCCATGAACACATCTCAGGAGCCGCTCATGCCACCTCCAGCGTCCTCAGCCAAACAACAAACACCCTCTACAACGCCCAGAACAAACACATCTTCAATGATGCCTCCACCTTCAGTCCCCCGTCTTCGGCCAACCGGCGCCCAACCCACAAACCAACTCCAACCCCCTCGACTCAACGCCGGTAGTTCCCTCCGTCCACCTCCATCCGCAGCAGCAGGCCTGCGCGCCCCGCAAAGCAGCGGCGGAAGTCGTCTCAGCAATAGTACCCTCGCCCCGGTCCAGGTCAAGAAATCCTCCGCATCGCGCAAAGTCGTGCTTGACCCCGGATTCTCACCCCTGGACTGGGCAGCGCTCGTTGCCAACCCAAAAAACCAACTCCGAGGTGCGAACATGCCGCCCGGGTATATGCGCGTCACGCCGTCGATGCTGAAGGTACAAAATGGGCGGAAGGGTCGCGACGCCTGGACTTCGTACCAAGGGAAGGTCTATAATATACAACCTTATGTGCCCTACCACCCCGGTGGGAAGGGCGAACTCCTCCGCGGCGCGGGGAAGGACTCCGCTCAACTGTTTCAGGAGATCCACCCGTGGGTCAATTGGGATGGGATTCTAAGTGAGTGTTTAGTTGGGATTCTAGTTTCGGAGAATGATGCCCAGGCGGAGGATGCGCTAGATGCGATGGACTAATAGAGCTGCTTGGTCATTTCTCTGATATGACCCGTACATATTCGACATTTGCGCGTTCTATGGCACCATGTACACATATTTTCTCTTACATATTTTCTTTTTTTTTATGAACTAGAAGAGATACCCTTCCTATCGACGAATGGCATGACATTGGAAAATGGAAAATGGATCCAAACTGAATTTGTTCAGGGTATATATTGATTTCATATCTATGCCGCAGCAATCTACCCGCAGGGCATTCACATAGCAAATGGTCAACCTTGATGTCAGAGCTTACAGCTCATCCTTCTCAACGCCCTCAATTCCGACCAACTCGGTCTCGAAGATCAGAGTCGCGCCGCCGGGAATAGGACCGACACCGCGGTCACCGTAGCCGAACTCAGGAGGGATGGTAAGAGTACGCTTCTCACCAATGCACATATCCAAAAGACCCTGGTCCCATCTAGAGATAGGCAGAAAGTTAGCGCACTTGAATCATTCTATAGCCAGAAGTAGAAGTTTCCGGAATTCCCAGCAAAAAGAATACTACCCAGCATCGAGCCGCTGCGAAGGGAATCTATTGCATCGCTAGGAATTATCCATTCAGCTTCATCGTGGGTGTAAACCTACCCCTTGATAACACGACCAGTACCGAGCTTGAAGCTCAGAGGAGAGTTGCGCTTATAGCTAGAGTCGAACTCCTTTCCGGTGTCCTGGAGGGTACCGCGGTAGTGCATGGAGACACCGTCGCCGTTTTGTGTCTTGCGGGTACATTCGACCTTGTGGGTGGTTTCGATTCCTAGCTCGGCGGCGCAGGCCAGGGAGGCGAGGGAGAGAAAGATGCTGGCGAGACGCATAGTGGTAGGTATTGAGTAGGCTGTTCGAGAGGAATTGAAGGGATGTTGATTGAATTGGGGAGATGAGGACCGACCGAGGGGGAATTCGGGGAGACCACGTTTGTCTGGCGGCGGAGCATGTGGGCCTGCGCCTGGTGGGGCCGCTCAGTAATGAATGTACAATAGACCTTGAGTTGGGTAGGACGGATTCCTTGATGTTGTATTGGGATGGAATGATTAGTGGCTAGGATGGAGATTGTAGCCGGCTTTTTCTTGAGATGTGTCCTTAACTTGTGGAATACAATGTGATTCTGGATCGTATCTCGAATAGTGGTTGTCGAGGTATAAGCTCCATGTTCCGTATGTTTAGGTCTACACTAATCTTACTCTACAGTTAATCAATTTTTGAAAGATGAGGATTTCATGTTATCCACCTATCCAGGTAGGGTAGCGATATAACCTTTGATAGATCTAGAGAAGTAAATGCCTCCTTCATTCACCACCACCGCCACCAACTGCCTCACCCATCCTTCTTTTGGGCTGTGTCGGCGATCGTGACACCATCATCCGCATTCGCCTGCAGATCATCCTCTCCCATGGCTTCGTCCCATCCATTCGCCACAAGATACAATCGAAACTGCTCATCCCGTATTCTTAGATCATCGCCCGAGAGATCTGGTACGAAGAAATAGGTCACTAAGATTCCCACGACACCACAGATCGCTGCAATGATAAACGTCCATCTTTTGCCAAGATGGGTCGCGATGGGCTGGAAGGCCTGCGTTCCGATCGCTGCACCTGCCTTGCCAATAGCCGCTGAGAGACCGTAGCATGTACCGCGCACGCCAGTGGCATACGCCTCAGATGATAAGAGGCCAAGCATATTTCCTGGACCAAAGTTGCCGCAACTTTGCATGAGCCCGTAGAAGACGACAAAGAGCGGGATTATCTTGGTGATCTTGTCATACGAGCATCCGATAATCAGGCCGAATATCAAGTAGCCGCCGAAGCCGATCATCATGATGTTTTTACGCCCGACTCTGTTACAAAGGAACGCACCGAGGAAGACACCTGGTAGAGCGATTGCCCCAAGAAGGAGCTGCCACTCGCCTGTTGAGCGAACAGAACCGGCCTTTGTAGCCTCTGAGATGATAGTTCCAGAGAAGACACCGTTTGGGAAGGTCACAAAGTCTGGAACACATCAGTAAGTGGCGTCGCGAGCGAGATTCTGGGAAGATTTACCGTAGAGGAACCAGGCACCGCATGTTCCAATAAGAGCTTTCCAGTAATAGCGGATAACAAGCAGATAAGGGACATGTTTTTTGATCGCTCCGCGGCGATATAGAGTCGAATTTAGCATGCGGATGCGGAAGTAAAAGACGGACAGTGGCCAGATACATCCGATACCGAAGCATACTCGCCATACAGTACTGTAGTGCGATTCATGGCACGCCATCAGAACGATCAAGAAGATTGATACCGCAAATGGTCCGCCGAAGCTGAGAGGGAAGTTGGTCACCATGATGAATGCCGGCCCGCGATGCTTGGGTGTCAGCTCGTTGGCTGATTCGGAAGCCGAGGTCGAAGATGCTGGATACTCTCCGCCAGTGCCTGAAAATAGCCATACAAGTTAGCACTGGAGTATGAATTGAGAGCTTCAGTCCATGCATTGAGACTCACCGAATCCAACAATGCCACGGGCGACTGTCATCATCCAGAACATGCCATTAATGGTAACTCCATGAGATGCAGTAGCAAGGATGCCACCAACGACAATCATAACAGTGGTGAACACGATGGCGGTCTTGCGACCAAGATAGTCACATGTTAGACTGGAGAACGCGCATTAGTTGGAGCTTTAGGTTCCCGCATATGAAGTCCAGGAACCAACACGTACCCGATGACAACCTGACCGATAATTTCGCCAACGAGCAGGGCGTTGGAGACGCGCGTACTGACAGTCGAGGTATATTCTTTGGGGTATTCTTTCTTAAGAAGAACATTTGCCATAGTCCTATAGCCAGCCGAGTATAAGTTGATGCTCAGGGTTCTCCTAGGAGGGTGTAGACTCACATCAGATTGTTCTGGTATCCATCGCTGATCAGGGCAAAACCACTTGCGAACTAGGTCATGGATCATGAGTTTCAGGCTAGAATAAGACAATATACGGCTGCTTGAATGTTCCACTCACAATAGTAAACAGATCCGACAAGCTCTGCCGCTTCCTCGAGACCTCACGCGAGGGATCGGCGGCATGGGAGCCAGTAGGCTCTAGAACCTCGGCAACAACGGATTTGCTCTCAGGTTGCACATCGTCGATAGCCATTCTTTTTGGGGGGTGCCTTGACAGCCACGGGCTTAATAGGAGTGGACTTTTGTCGGGGAGGACGGAGAAGATGCAGGAACGAATGCTTGAAAGCTGCTGGAGGGGCGGAACGCGGGGTCACTGTTCAGGGCGTTACTGTAGTCCAAGGACTAGCCCTATAGCGCCAGGCAAAGCTTACCCCAGACGGTAATTGTGTAACGTGGCTGTCATTGGACGCTGCGTTAGGAAGTGGCACATAACTATGTGCCACATGCGGCCGGTGGAGGTAATGATTGGCGGGGTGGGGGCGGAAACAAAGATCTTATCTTTTGGGTAGGGCTGACGGGTGTGCCTGGAACTTTGAATAATTACCTACTAGGTACTCCTAAAGGGTCACGCATCGTAGTCACTGATCAGAAAATATTCGTCTATATGAGGCTAAGTACAGTTTATATTCATAACGCCAGTCCTTCCCAAACGCCAAGTTGCAACCATGGGTATCAATGCATGCATGGGGATACATCATCGCACTCCCCTCCATTTTTGTGTACGCGATATCATAGGGAAAGATCCTTGATATTTCAAAAAAAAAGAAGAAAAAACCAACAAATTCAAAGTCATTAGGTTCATGCCCATTTTCCTAGAACAGCCATGAGCGCAGCACCCATGCACAGCAGGGTGAAGGCTGCCAACACGTCGCGGATCGGAGCCTGGCGCATCGAGTGGCTGAACATGAACTCGTGTGCCATCAATTCCACCAAGGCAGTGTAAATCAAAATACCGGCAGAGATGGAGTCAAATACGCCGTTGACGATCAACGTTGTCCGGCCTTCGGGCGGGTAACTGTTGCGGACACCTAGGCCGATGGCAATTGCAATCGGGGTTGACAACCCGAAGGCCAGCCCCAGGAAGTACGGTGTGTGGCGCTTGGACCGAGGCCATGGAAGCATGGCGAGCCGGGACCCCAGTCCGAGACCTTCAAAGGTCTGGTGGAAAACCAGAACGATATACAAAGTGGTGAACTCGGCACCAGAGACTGCAAGAGTGAGACCGATAAAGACTGAGTGGAAAATAATACCGAATTCCAAGATGAAGATGGAGGTCAGTTGGGCGGCATAATCCTCAATTGCAGAAACGTCTTTCTCCGAGTCGTCGGCGTCGTGGTGTTCCCGGGAGTGGCCAAGATGATCCTCCCCGGGCATAAGATGATTGGGGTGATGATGACCCTTGTTCTCGCTGACTTCTTCCACCAGAGGAGGCGAGTCAATGTGGGTGTGAGTGTGACCTTCCTCGTCATGGACATGGCCGGCACCAAAGCGGGAGAATCGCATGACCATAAGCTCAACGAAGAACAAGACAATGATAGTCATAAGAATTATACCCTCGACCCAACTGTATTCGGTAATTGGGCCGGTTAAGCAAGGGTTGTTTAAAGATTCTTCGGCTGGAGCCAGAAGATGGATAAATGCAGTAGCAATGATGACGCCCGATCCGAAGAATTTGGCGACGAAAAAGATCCAGTTAGGGAATCCACTCTTTTTGCTCCAGCGACGAGCAAAGACGGGGAAGAGGGCACCGAACGATGACCCGATGAGGATGACGAAGATGGATGATATCCGGAGCCCCATGCGGCCATCGAATTCGTTCCCGGTATCACAGGCATCTGCCTCCCGTTTAAAGAGAGAGTTGAGGGGTTCCATTTCCATGATGACTGATAGCCGAGAGGACAGGGATTCCTGGGCGTTTAATGAGCACCGAATAACCGGAGCCGCGATGAGCCGTGCGACAAGATCTCAGATCTCCAAGGCAATCGATAGGAGCCGATAGATGGGGGCTGTGGACGTTGATTGCACCAGAATCGAGCCCCTTGGGAGAAAAGAAAACCAAGAGAAGATTTGGCAGGTGGATTGACGTAGAGGGGCATCCACGGGGGGGTGGGAAGGATGGTGCTGGTTAGTTTTGTGCGGGTGTCGCGCTGGACTGGCCGTAACCCCCAAGGTCCTCGAGGTAGACGCACGGTGGTCCAATTAAGGCGCCGAGGGAAACCGGGTTGGCCTGGCGAGATATTGCGCTAAGGTAAGCGATGCAGACAATTCGATGCACGAAAAGTAACGGTCAGACAATGGTGAGACTCTCTAGCGGTGCACGTCGAGGCAGAGAATGGTGGTGGTGCTGGTGCTGGTGTGGGTGCTCCGCGGAGTAGACTTTGTGCAGACCGGAGCAAAATCTCGGAGGTTGTCGTTTTGCGTCCCACGTCTCAAGTCCCACGCTGACTGCAAAGGACAAAGGAACAGATCGATGACCTTCGTGCTCAGAAGCAATGCGGATTCGCAGTTTTTGACGTAAATCAAAATCTGCGGGAATCATAGCCGGTTCATCCCAGCGGGGGTCCCAGAGTGGGATCCATGGGGACCTTGTTGGCGGGAAGACGTGAAGATATTAAGTACCAGGTACTTAATATATCTTACATTTTGTGTGTAAACAGAAGTACCGAGTACTTCATATGGGGACCTTGGGGACGGTCAGCATCTTGCCGCAAGCGGTGGTTGGAGGGTCACGTGTGATCAATACTACTTGCCGTCATCGAGTGAACGCCATTGATGTGTATGTATATATTGGCAATGAAAATAGGCCAGAACACATAGTGGGAAACGGGAGATGATAAGTGTCAGATTCGAAAATTGCTGGGCTGTCAGTACAGGGGTGATGCCCCTTGGTTGCCTAAACGCCAATCAGAGGCTCTGCGGGGACGCAGCTTGGCATCATCGATGAGCTCACAGCCTCGGAGGATCTCCCGCTTAGCTTTCTACCATCCCTCCCCATGGCTCCCATACGACGCTACTTGCGCATCAGCAAGTACTCGGTGATAGAATGCCGTATCTACCCTGATAGACCTTCCGATGCCCGATGGCTCTTGGATGCTCGTGACCCTGGCTTGCCACGCGTATTCGCCGCGATCCGCCCACTGGTACGACCTCGTCTACGTGAAGCGAACGAACGGCTTTGGATGCGCAAGAAATCTAAACCAGTGAAGGATGTCGTTTCAGAAGGTAAAAGGCTCTGCTGCTCCATCTGCCCTTTCCTCGATTGTCGGAGCTGACCGTGCCTTCTCGCTTGTAGATGACTTCGAAGTTAGCATCTTTCTCCGCGAATCGCGCACTCGTCATTCTCTCTTAACACGGCACAAGAACTTTGAACAACCAGACAAGCAAGATGGCACAAATGTATTCACTGAAGCTGGAAATACCCTGGCAAACGCAGAGGTAATCATGGACAGCGAGGACGATTCTGAGTTTGACTTGCATAATGTCCCCCCGCCGAAGACGACATTGCCCAGGATGGTGGTCGCTCATTGCGCAAAAGGCAAGGGGCTGCTTCAATCGATCCAGTCGACAGTCCCGACGGCAGCGACGAGAAGAAGGCAGGCTTCAGTACGCATTACGAGAGCTTCGACATTTGCGGCTGGGTGCTCTGTTTGCTTATCTCTCACAAGGGCGACAAGCTCCGGCCGAGTGCTGACCCATCGGCACCGAAGCAACCTCTAATGGAGGAATGGATATCGACTCAAGCTCAGCCAGACCTGGAAGAGGACTGATAGACTAGGATGGTTTCTGGCTTCCTTTCAGGTCTTAGGCTTACCTAGGCGGATCAGAAAAGCCTCCAGATTCGCTGGTGTGGCTGAGGAGATTCTTCAGGCCAAGCTTCCTCCGCATCTTCACGGCGGGTACCCGCGGTGGCGTGATCTGTCGCAGGTCCCCCCCTCTCCCCCTTTTGTGTGACACATGCCTAATTACAGAGTTGCATATCCAATTAATTATGTGCATCGCCACCCGCCTACCTGCGCAATATCCCCCCCCCCCCTCCATGTTTCAGCAGGGGTGAGGTGGTCCATGATCGCGAAAGCCAGCTCTCCCACGTCATGCGCACCTGTGACATGGGCGACGTCTAAGCTTGAGCATCCTGCCCCTGGCTGATAGAAAACCGGGCCGCTGCAGAGCGCCATGAGGATGGAGTCAGCTTATGACATCCTGGTTCTTGATGCAAGCCATCATTACAAAGGTGGCGGCTATTGACCACTCTCAATGGTTTAAAGTATACCGCTAGCTTCTTGAATGGTTCAAGATTGGCGGCGCAACACAACGGGGCAACTTGCTGCCTTGAATATGTATCCATGCATGTCTATCGGCAATCCAATCAAGTTCGAGGTACTCCGAGCGTATCTGTGCGAGTATGTCAGATATGTACACCTGGGCATCCATGGATGCAGATGGACGAGGCAGCAGCATCATATTCTGCTCACCCATACAACCGTGACGGCATGATCCGCCTCCGTTAGCATATGCCGGTCAAGTTCATGAATTCAATTTTTCCACAGCTTGTTTTTTTTTGGCGAAGACCCATCCATAGAACAGAAAAATATCTCAGCTTTACTCCATCCTCCTGCGGTTCTCTCCTTCCTTTCTCATATTTCGTATTCAATAACTACTAGTACTGACCATCTCTATGAGCGCCATTGAATGCTATTAGAAAGTAGAAGAGCGACGAGCGACTCCGAAGATACCTAGGTATAAGATATGATTACTGAATGAACACCTAGACTAGGTAGTCCTACTTTGACATATATTATCTATAATGTACGCACCGGAGGCGTCGATATGTGATGAACACGGAGTTGACTCTTACCTAGTAGATATGCACTGGGTGAAAAGACCATGACCCCCCTCCCTCAAAAGACCACGCAAATTTGTGGCCTTTTCTGCGTCATGTTGAGTTGTACGGAGTCAGCATTCAACGTACATACGTCTCCCAGGCGAGATTTTAGTTCCACCTGGGTTGAATGAAACGGGCTGTACTTCGTACGGGTACATGTGCAAGCGGTGTCCACAAAACCTCGGCTCCCCGTTTTCCAGAAGCCAAGTAGAAGGCTGGTCATCCCGGTGGAGCCACTTGAAACAGCCCGTCCCTCCACTGTTTTCCACTGTTTCCCACTGTTTTCCCGTGACCCCCATCGGCGGCCGATACCTTCCTGCATCGCTCAGCTCGGGGAAAAATACCCCAGCCAGTCGGATATGGACGAGACGGCCGAAGCTGCGGCCGTTGCGTATGCTCTGTTGATGATAACTACGAGTACTGTACATCTTATACATACCAGTACTCGTACTCTGTAGATCGGGAGCGAATCGGTCAACTCTCAGTTCCCGCTGCCAATCGCAATCGCAATCACAAGCATCAGGAACCGTGGAAACAGACCGCATCGCCACGTGCGGCGATCCGCGACCCGAACCAAACAGGCAATTGTTTGGGGATCCAGAGATATTCCTGCAGGATGGAGAACACCAAAACAAATTCACCGAGTTCCAATCGTACCCTCTCCTTTTTCCCGAGACCTCCACATCCCAGTTATTTTCCCTTCTCTCTCTCTCTCTCTCTCTCGTTTCCAACGGCGCGGAACGGCGGCCCACTTCATCCCACGGTGGATCCCCACGAGGCCCTATTCCCTTTCAGACTCGTTTATTGAAGTTTGTGACTCGTTAGCGTGTCGAAGTTTTTTCGCAGCCATGCCAGTTTCAACGAAGGTATCGCCACCGCTAACTCCACTAGGGTGACTAGTTGGAACCGCAGGAGCCGCGAACTCAACCACCTGCCAGGAACGCTTTCGCGCTTTCATTCCTTCAGCGCTGGAGCCAAAATCGCAAATCCCGATTGCACGGACAAGTCCGACCGCAACTCCCACCGCACATCCATTGGCATTACTATTACCGCATAGGGCTGTGGTCATGCGCGCCTCTCGAATTATTTGTCTTATTATTGACTCCTCTCCGTATTACGAGTACATATATTCCCTTCCTTCGGGTTGGTGTTTCGTGTGGTTGTTTGTTCCTTACTCCATATGTATGTATGTATGTAACCAGGATTTGAGTTTCTTCCATTCTGTTCTTCGTCCTGAGCAAATGGAAACCGAATCCGGAGTTTGTGGGGATTCTTTCGCGCTTCCACTTTCCGAGACTTGCCGGAGGATTCGGGGTTGGAGGGACGGAATTTGAATTTGGTTGACATTTCTCCAACTCGGAGATCTGCCGCCCCCATGCACACGTATGTACGGAGTACCTACTGCACTCTCTATTTCATATACTCCGTTGACTACCAATTATTACGCACCTGTACTATCTACATATCAATATGAACCAATCGTACGCTCACCCCCTGTATGTACTGATAGCCTTGCATTGGAATAAACAACCACAGCCAAGGGCGATCCGATGCTGAGCACGCAATCGACGCCTCTATATGAGAAAACAAAGCGGATCTGCTAATCGTGAAACACCCGGCCCAGTGATGTGCGGGATCAACCCTGGGGAGAATGTCTTGCCGACGAACTTGTGGTTTTTTCAGGACCTGCATGCTCTGTACCCATAATGGCCTACTGCACATACAGTAGGTATGGAGTACGGAGTACTACTCCCTGCTGCGAAAAGGCAGCGACTTGCACGGCAAACCTGTCCCACTGACATCAAATGAGGATGTGCAATGCAATGCACTGTCCCTTTCCCCTCTTCTCCCCCCGCCACTACTGCAGTGCTGCAGAAGTGAGATGATCTCACATCCCATCCGAGCCATACAGTAGCGGAGGTGACTCGGCTCTGTTCTCCGGTGTGTGTTTGTGCGTCGAGAGATTTAGCGTTGCATATGTAGTAAGTAACGACCCAATTTCGGGTCCGCTTTAGGACGCATTCTATTTGTAACCCACCGATAAGACCCATTTAAAAAATAAATTCCCCGGGAGGCAAAATCTTCGCTTGCTAAAGAGTGGTACCTTAGCCCCTACTAACGATCATCCTAGAGGGCTTAGCTTCAGGTACCCGTGGCAAGAATGTATGGAGTAACTCCATCTTTAATAATGTTCACCAGGTTATTTGCCAGTGCGGCCTCCCACGGGTACGACCCACGGTACGTGGATGGGTCAGTCTGAACCCCCCTGGCTATTTTAGTCCTTAGTCTCAGGGGGAGGCAAAAAAGCAAGGTTAATGAGGGAGAGAGAGATGGGGGGAACGGGCAAAAAAAGGAAAGAAAAGAAAACAAAACAAAACAAATGTAGGGGAAATAAGCCACTGGGATGGAAGTCCACCCCGGACGGTTATCTGAACACTGGTTTTGAAGGCAGATACATTCGGTTGACGTGTCAGCTATATCTTGTGATTTTCTGATCCCAAGCACCCGGGTTGAGAGTTAAATTTTTTGCTATCGAATCAGCAGTCTTACGAGAGTACCTGCGCCACGAACAGCTTATCCTGATCATCCTGATCTTTTTCCTGCTCTGTGCTGAGAATCCCGGCATTTTGGGCGGGCTGTCATGATACGACAAGATCGGTGTAAACCCGGCCCTAACTCGATGGGTCGACTAGTATGGGGATTTCCCACTTGTTGCCTTATTATTTAATTTTTCTATATTTTTCTAATTTCTTCTTTTTTTTTAAAAAAATATTTTTCTTGACTTATTTTTTTATTTTTATTATTTTTTTTTGGTAGGCGATTTCCCACCGATCGACCATACATGTGAGCTCACTGGATGGACCCTGGTTCCTGGGTTTAGCCCCCTTTCAGTACGAGTTCATTGAGTCACCTGTTTCCCGTATCTCTCTACAAAGTACCGCTTGGGCCTGGTCTTGAAAGAAACTCTCTGCTGAGGTTGTACAACTCGACCCAAACGGCTTATTTCTTTTTTGTTCTAAAATAAATGGAGAAAGAAAAAAAGAATCATTCACTTTCGTACGCTCACCGCATCGAGGAACCGTCCCGATGGAGCCAGAGGTGGAGCCACGGGAGATTGCCCATTACCAGTTGTCACCTCGTGTGGTTTCATAATTATTCGGGCGAACGTCCCGTGAAACCCCCCAAACAAACGAAGATGGAGCAAGTAGTAGCCCTCACGTAGAGTAGGTCTGTCAGAGAACAGAGACCAGAGGACCAGAGAAGCAGGAAATTGGTGCATGGCGGTACGAGTAAGATTGGAAACTGGGCGGACTGGTGTCTCACCAGTCCCCTTTTCTCCTGGTTCACCAGAGACAGAGTAGCGCGACACGGGAATTCGAGTGGGGAGCTTCTAGAAAAACTAGGGGATTTCCATTGGATTTCCGGTTAGGGCAGCATTATTCATCGGCCCCCGACGCGCTAAGTAAATCGCAATAATTCCTACGTCAGATCAGGTGGATACTCAGCCTCCTGTTCATGGCAGGGATGCTCGATGGGGGGGGGGACTTAGCAGCTGCACTAACGTAAATTAGTCCCTACTGTAAGGTGACTGGGGCTTGGGAGATCCATTCTGGCTTATAAGTAACGCTCGTGCTCCTCGACTTGCTTTTTTTCTCAAGTTCGGTTCACCATCGTCTACTATTATTCCTAGTACACACTCTACTACACACCTCTACTACACAGGTCCACTACTACTCCTACTACTCCCACCTGAGCATCCTCACTGCCACTACAACCCATCACAACATCAACAATAACCACCACCACCACCACCACCACCCTCCTCACAACTCTGTCCAAGATGCCTTCCGTCGGCGCTCAGTTCCCTCCTTGCCCTGGACCTCCTCCAAAGGGCCCTCTCCCTCCTCTGCCGAAATAAACAGTTCTCTCTCAAATGACTGTGATGACTCTGGCGCATTCGGGCTCTGCCAAATGCGCTCACGACCTGAGCCTCTCCTCGGCATGGATATGAAATGACCTCGATCTCGATCTGGTTTCGGCTACTCCGCACACGATTCTTCGTTCTCGACTCGGATATCTCTATTAATCCCACCCTTTCCAAACCACCCGGACCATCCGGCTGCAGTAAGATCTCCTGATAAGACATCTTACGACACGCGGATTCCGGACCCTCTCCCTCTCCCCCTACAGCACGCCCTCAATACCGGCGGGGAAGAGGAAACGCTTGCGCATTCAAGCGTGGAGAATAACCTTCCACATTTTTACTTTCTCAATCTTACGGTCGTTGCGATGGGGGCCCAGAGCGCCGGCGCCCTAGGGTCCTCGACCTCCTGCATCTTTAGCCCGTTCTTCCTCTTCCTTTCTTTTTTCTTTCTTTTTCATTTCGATTTTACCTGTTTTCTCACCGGTCCGTGTTTCACCATTTCCGACCGGCGTGACTACTTCGTGCGGGGGTCAATTTACCGTTGGATCTCGAATCCAGCTCTTTGACACGATGCGGAGAACAGACGCACTCGACTTTTAGCGGCCGCAGCAATTGGCTCTGCAAGCCTGCAACCCACCTTGGCCCTTGTCTCGCCATGATCAGCTGGGCCTTGATCGCTTCATCGCCTGTGCGTCACTTTGCATGGATCTCCGCACCTTGCGCCTTTCTCTTTTCGATTATTATTTTTTTCCTCTACTACATTGCTTGCATGTCGTTCTGCCCGGCCACATCGACTGTTTCAATCTTTTGTAATACTTCATTTCGGCCTGTTTCTTTTTTTGCTGTCTTGTCTTTTTCCTTTGTTCTTTAGCCTCAAGCATTGGGCCGAATTTGAATCACCGGCATGTATCATAGACTTAATATACCCCAGCAGAGCAATTTGTCTTATCATCATTCTATGTCGTGCATAATCTCCAACCCCAGACAAAAATCCTGAGGAATATCCATAGTGGGATAGCGCCGTAGTACCCGATGAAACACCGCGCCCCGCCCGCTCGTTTCACTAGCATTTCGCCGCCATAATGCATACGTCCGGTGTAGCATGGAAGTTCAGCTCGACCATGATTTTCGCACGGCCTTTTTTCGGTGACAGCGACTTCGACCTTGCCAGCACCGACGGGACTAATTTCGGAGTGGATACCTCAACATTCACCTTATAGATGATGAATCATGGACTATGTACTACATACTCCGTACTCCGTACCCTGTTTGCAACGGTCATCAGTCAACCCCAGCCACTAATCCATCCGATCTTACGGTGTTGTTGACATCTTATCGAGCATCCCGCTTGTGCAGATAGCCACCAATGCAGGATGTACATCTTAGGTGCATGACTGGATCATATCCAATGACAATCTTCGGACCATAATAGCCAAGGAAGATATGAATGCACGATGGAGACTCGCACATGGCGTTACTCTAGTGCGACAAATAGCAGAGCGGGGTGTCTCTTGCGTGCCTGCGTATATGACGCCAGGCAAAAGCATTCGCTTTCAACCGGTACCTCTTCTATCGGCGTGCATGGCCGCATGGCGCCGGCGTACCTAGGTATGCGCAAATCGATAATCTGGCAGACTAACAGATATGGACCCACAAGTGTCCAAGAGAGCAAGAGAATCAGGCAGGAAATGATTCAACGTGACGGCGGTGTTGTCCGAGCGCTCGGCGGGATTCGCCCTACGGTACGTGTCCAGGTAGCTGGGATACACTGCGATTGGGGGGAAGTGAGTGCCTTTTTGGTCCACCGCTCCCCGGGTTCGATTTGGACATTGTTGGCCTGATGGTAAATATCCGGTTACCATCGCCAGGCACTTCCAGTGGCCGTAGGGAGGCGGAGGGAGTCTCATTAGTACAGACCGCACAGGTACCGTGGATAAGGACTAAGACAAGCGTGCTGACGTTCGTGTTGGTCGTTGGTCCATTATTTTTGGACTTGGCGTCATCATTGCGTTTCTTCATCGCATCTGATTTCACAACGGCTTAAATGAGCCCCCGCTTTCTATTGCCTTTGGGTTTTTGGGGCCGAAGTGTAGCCCCGCAGGGTTGGAATCCGGGTTGGCGGCCGAAAGGGACCTCGGATTTGACCACGACTCCTCTTTCCAAGGCTATTTTCAGCATATCATCCATGTATGTATTTTCAGCTACGAAGGGGCTCTTGCGCAGCCACGGCCACGTGTAGAGTGAGATCACGGTAAGCCGCTCTTATCGCGGCTGTGTCGATGCATCTGCAGGGCGAGATGACAGATGTGAGTCAGTGGCATCGTCATCTTGAAGAGGGGGTGTTTTGATGTTTTTGTCTATGCGAAATGGCGAGATGTTGCGATGTTGCGATGCGAAACGTTGTAAAGGGCCTGATCGTGCGGGAGGGTGTCTCAGGTAGAATACGAGGAGACTGAACTCTCGTGACTTGGGAGCCATGGATTTCTTGTTTAGGCGTTAAACATGCTTGGGGCCAGAGGTGAATCCCTCTGAAACCGGGAAACATTTTCATGATTCTATAGAGCATTCTCATTGATTATCGGTTGATCTATCCAAAACAGTCCAAAGAGTAGTATGCGCATACTAAAGAGTTACTAGTAACTACCAATGCATCTGTATCAAATGCGAAACATCGGATGACGCTGCATATAGGTCAGCCTGCGATCTGATCCAGCGCTTTTGTTTCAATAGCAACTGTCAAAATCGAATCGAGAATTGTCCATCCCGCGATCCAAGCTCCTTCATAGCTAGTCGGAGATCATCCACGAATGAAGCAGGCAAGGCAAGGCTGGCTGTATAGTATAGATAGATCATCCGCACGTGATCATCCACCCCAACTCGCCCGCGCCCGCCCTTCTGCCTTCACGCGCAAACACAATGGTGCTGCAATTACATGTGTGGGGGCCGGCTTTCGCCTTGCCCTCAATTGACGCGCAATGCCTCGCAGCTATCGCCTATTGCTCTTTAGCCCTCCCGAAGGACTCCTGGGAGTTGGTCGCCAGCAGTGATCCCTCTGTGTCCCCTACCGGTAAGTGACGTGATGCGCACATCCGGCCACCCGAAGCTAGCAAGGAGGCGCAAGATAAAAATACAACATGAGCTGATCCGATTATTCTTTTCTGCAAATTAGGTGAGCTCCCGGTCCTCCAAAACGGTGCGGTGTGGGTGAGCCGGTTCCGCAGTATCGTGGACTACCTCCGGCAATACTCGAAGGGGGCCTGGGATCTGGATAATCAACTGGATGAAACATCCCGTGCTGATAATATCGCGTATGTCAACCCACCAATGGTCTGACCCCTGAAACGAAGCAGCTGACTGATCTGTGCCGCTGTTGCAGCTTCTCCTCCTTCATCGAATCCCGCGGCCAGTCCCTCGTCGACCTCTACCTGTACGTTACCAGCCAGAATTATTACGGAAACACCTCGCCTGCATACGGAAGTCTTCTCCAGTGGCCGAACCAATGGATTCTACCGCCAAAGCTGCATGGTGCCGCCAAAGGCCGTACCGAGCATTTGGGTCTCTCGTCGCTTGACCTGCAAGCCATGGAGGACCAACGGCAGCGCGACCACAGCGCCGCCGTGGCCGCCGGAAAGATCCCCAAGAACCTAATCCAGCGACCCCGTGATACTGTATCGAGCTTTTTGGGTCGCACGGCACAGTCAAATCACTTCCGCATCGAGGCGTTGACGGCCGAGTTTTTTGAGCCTCTCGAGGCCATGCTGGGCCGCAAGGCATACCTTCTGACCGCTGAGGACGAGGGCACCCCGTCCAGTATCGACTGCATCGCGCTCGGGTATCTGTCCCTGGCGCTCGTACCAGAGATGAGCTTCCCATGGCTTCGGGATGCGATGCGTGCCAAGGCTCCATTGCTCTCGGCGTACACAGAGCGCCTGCGGCGACGGTGCTTCGGCGATGCGCCGATAGAAATCGCTCATGCATTTGCGCCCGAGTCTGTGCCCGAGTCTGCGCCCGAGTCGCCGATTTCTTGGCGAGCTCCAGGGCGCATCTCCGTCGCGGCGGTTGGCACGACCCTTCTCTCTACTCTGGCAGATTCGACCCCATTCCTGCGTGAAATTCGCAAGAACAACGGGCTTAAAAAGGTAGCTCAGTCGGAAGATTCTGGACTTTCGTCCACAGAGAAGCGGGTTCTGAACCTGCACGCCGAGTCTAAGAAGAAAGACATGTATGTCTCCATTGCCACGGTGGTGGGTGGTGTTGCTCTCATGGTCGGTTACATGATGCAAGTTGGTATGCTCTCTTTTCAGACAGAAGACGAAGAGGAGGAAGTGGAAGAGGGAAGCGGAGAGGCTTCCGAGGCAGCGTATCCGACGGTAGCTGAATTCCTCGCGGTCTAAGCAACAAAAGGATTGCCAGCACCTCACTGGTATCCATTCATCAACGGCGTGTTTGACTATTTCCTATTTCGAGCGAGGGCCACATATCCCATAAATTGTATCATATTCATCATTTTGGCTGGAGCATTATATGCTATGTACTGACAGAAGTATTATGTGTACTTCATCCAACCCCCAAATCTCATTACATCGGTCTATAAAGTCCTCTCTTGGTCACCAAGATTCCACGTCGTGCTTCCATTGTCCTTGGAGAAGTGAGGAGCAGCGACCCATTGGATCCCCTGCTCCCCTGCATAACTCTCCTCCATCTCAACTCCCCACCGCAACCTACCATCCTCATCAACGAACCAGCCCAACTTCGTGCGAAGATTTTCGTAATTTTCCGGCAACAATATGCCGGCTTGGATTTCTCGCACGACTTGAATGAGGTTTGTGCTGCCGGCTATCAGGACCAAGACGTCGCCGAGGGATTCCACATTCCGAACGAGACTGCCGAAGTAGCGCCGTTGTAGCACTGCTACTACAACCGTGGTCATGATTAACCAGGCCATTATGCTGATGCTGAGCCAGACTGCAACACCATTCATCTGGAGGAGCTCCACACGACGGGCGAGGAGGGCTTCTACCGTGCGGTTTGTATGGGAGATAGGCTGCATGACATCCTGATACTTGGTGGCCTTCGTGCCGGGAAGATAACCGTCGACGAGCTCGAGTGCTGGGCCAAGCTCATGTGGGAGACTGGCATTGATTTTCTGGTAACCCCAACTGCCCGTTTCCGTTGAAATTCCATTGCTGACGAAATGTTGGAAGAAGGTGGAGAAGGTTTTATGTGCGAGATCGTGGAATGTATCTGGATCGAGTAGTTTCGTTGGATCTTTACCAGCCATTGAATACATTGCATATGTCATAAAGTCCATATTCAGGCCGTTTATTGTGTCCCGGATGTTGTATGTGTTGTCGTTGAGGTCTTCAAGTGTATAACCTGTGCCATGAGGGGCACCGCGAAGGTTGATTGTGTCGGCAGCGGTTAACATAGACGCCATGAACAGCCGGCCATAGCTTTACTCGATGGTCAACTAAGGGGTTCCCTGGAGGACTTGAAGGGGCATTGCTTACCTCACTGTGACATTGTATGTCATATAGCCAGTTTCTGAGCTCGCGTGGGTTTTGTTGTGTGGCAAGAAGTTGTCTGAAAAGGCATTTTGTCGTTCTTTGGGGGGCTCTGTGATATTGAAGCTTTGTATAATACCATTCTCTGGGTTGACTGTGATATCTGCGGTGGCAGATTCGACCAATGGCCTGCAAGTCAGAAATGATGCGGATGGTGGATTGGGAAATACCAGGCCAACAGATGGGTTGTAGGAGGTTTTGAGATCATCGTTACTTTTAATCCCGGTCACTGCACCACCATGGAAAAACTTGGCTGTGAAATTTTGCTGCCACAGTCGTGTATTCCATGCATTGGGGTTTGCGTTGGGCGACCAGTACCCAACTACAACGTTTGGATCCCAGACACTACTACTGCTGTTGCCACAGCATTGTATTTCGCTTGGGTTGGCGAACACACTTGTACACCCAAGACAATCCGTTAGGTTGACCGAGGATGTGAAAGGTGTGATCGCGGTCGGGAAACCCCTATCAGCCCATGTTTGTCCTAATTCAAAGCCTCCTGCGAGATCATCGGGTATGGTGGACTTGTTCCAGATAGTTTCATTTCGGAAGTCCCTGTAAGTGAGCCAGTTGGAAAGATTCTTCATGGCTTGTACCGGAAGCTGGCTGCATTCAATGCGACCTCGCATGGCAGGTGTGATAAACGAGACATTGGACTGCGCCCCATTAACCGTTTTCTCGGATTCGTCGAGGTTATTTGGTAGCTTAGCATTGCGAAGGCTATCCATTCTGACTGGCACAAAACTCCAACCGTCCTTACTCCATGCTGGCTGAGATCCATTCAGCGTGAGCTGGACTGTTGCGGTATACATCCAATGAGTCGAAAGATTGCTGTAAAGATCTGCAATGATCCCGGCTGTGTAATCGTTTAAGCTACCTGGATAGAGAGATTGGGTCGCAGGAAACACAAATGGAATTTCGCGGAGCTCCAGTGTACGATCGAGTGTGACTGGCTGAGATACGATGCCCGGTCTACGATCAAACAGGGCGGACATCGTAGTTGTGACTAGAGGTAATCTCAAGATTAGCATACTTGATATCTCTCTTCTCGACACGTTTGACTCTCAACCTACAAACAGGTGAAAGAGAACTTCCAAGAGTAAGAAATGCCAGGAGCCAATGTTTGTTTAGAGCAGCTTTTGTACACGCCCAGAGCCAAAAAGAAGACCGATAAGAGAGACCCGCCCCTTTAGAAACTGGGGGGGTTTCCTTTAGACATTGCAAGAAAAGGTTGCAGACGACGAAAATTGTCGTCCATTGCGCTCCACCAAAGACCAATAGCAGTCGCGATAACAGTGGGAATCATTGCAAATGGTGCCACTGATGATAGACCGTTATTGATGAAAGAAATTTGTACTTGATAGACAAATGCCTTCTCATATAGCCCCGAGGTCTGAGCAAAATGATAGAGAACGGAAATACCTATTACCACCACTATAAGGACAATAACAAGGGAAAGGAGGGCAGAAAGTCGAAATAATTTGGGCGTTCCATTTTCCGATTGTGATGACTCGTGGCCGATAATGTCGTCGGTATTGATCCGTGAAAGACCTCGAGAATCCGTCACAAACCACTCCCCTGCAAACTTTTCATGTAGTTCTTTTTCAGATGGCTGTCTGAAGTTTCTGAAGCCACAATTGGCTTGAGTCTGTGTAATCAGGCGGGCTGTGCCTATAGTAGAGGCCGGATCTTCCGTCAAGTGTAATGGTCGAAGTTGTTGTCGAGAGAACCACCAGACAGCAAGTATGAGAAAAAATGAAACCGCGAGCAATATACCCAGAGATATAGCGGGCCCGGCTTGTATCACCACTCGAGGTTCGACATCATGAATATAGCCATGCATAGGGCTGTGTTGAGAAGCCCCTTGGCGAGTCAAGCCTGCCTGCAACACTTCGCCAAAAAATCGCTGCTTGGCTTTCGCTGCTGACTGGGTCCAATTCAAATCATTGACTATGGAAGTGACATTGTAATCGTACAGAGCTCCCAGTAATATCGCTGGACCCCCAAAATTCTTGTCGTCGGAGTAGAAAATTGAGACCATGTAACTTTTCCAATCGGCGTTTAAGGTAAGATTTCGGAAGAGAGTCGTGTTCAAAATATTATCCGGGATTGTGAGTTTCTTTTTCTCAAATTCATTCTCATCATAAGAGATATCTGGCTCATCACCATCTAGAGCGACCTTCGCTGTAATGTTGGCCATATAATATTTGCTGTCACAGAGGTGGGCGGTGAAATTTCCCTTCGTGGACTTCGAAGAGTCAGCCAAGATGATGATATCTCGATTCTGACACTGAAGGGTGCTGTTTGCCTGGAAAATAGACGCGTGCATGCCGTTATAGAAAGTAGAAGTACCAGACCAACTACCACCCGACTTGAAGGAATTTTCGACCGAGAGGCCATATTTACAACCATCGGGAGAGGACCAGATTGTCGAGATAGACGGAAGTCTGCCACCATAATTAGTATACTTCACACTTATATCAGTCTGTCGGTCCATTGACATCTGTGTACAGTTCATATGGCTCTTAAACATGGTCGTCTCGGCTTCCCATGTCTGTGAGGAGGTGGTGGGCAAGGAAGTAAGCGGGGCATCTTGCATGCTGGCCGGCCAGAAAGGGAGAACTGTATATTCATCCGTAATCCACGGAGAGGTCGATACATTTTGGAGTAAATTTGCAATTGTACGGAAGTGCGTCGTTCGGTCCGCGTCAATGGGCAAAGGCAAGTTTTCCACCGGTGTCAGGCTCGTGAACTCAGCCGGATTGGGCACCACCAAGTCTTCAGAGAACAGAAGAGCGGAAGAGAGTGGCGAAATGGCCAAAAAGCCGAATATGTTCAGAAATGACGCACATATTAAGATGATACTGCGCGAACCATTTTTCTTCTTAGCGAAACCATCGTATAATGCATTCCACCAGGCGTCCGGCGACTTGAGAATACTCGAAGTTGTCTCTGCTCCGTTTGGTCGTGCCAATCGAGCATATGGCTCTGTGCGTTTGACGTCCTCGAAGAGCACAGTTGTCATCTGAACGTATATCACTGCGATCATAGTCGGGCTATACCGCCATCCGAATAGTAGTGCGGATGACCCATTATCGGCGCCTAGACCGTAATTTGTCGAAGACCTCCACCATAGCAAAAAGACCACAAGGCAAAGTCCAAAAGAGATAAAGCTTAAAATGGCAAGAAAAGAACGTGAGAAAGTATAGGGTACCCAGCACTTTGTATCGCCTAGGGGCATTTTCTCAACGTAATAGCCAGGAGGATCCTCTGGTTCGTGTGTATCCTCGCCGATATCGCTAATACTCGAGACATCTTCCCCACTGCTTCCTTCTCTGGAGGAAGACCGACTTGGCGGACGTGGTGAGAAAATAAATTAGATCTTTGGCTAAGAATTTGTCGGTCTTCGTCTAGTGTATATTGTCTGGGTAACATGGTTAAACGTGTGGCAGGCCAGCTGCAACTCGTAGGTTCAAAACATGCGCAAAGAGGAAATGGTTGACATAGAATATGTGGGAGCGTCTGTTCCCTCATGCTTATACTCTTGATGCATAGTCTGTCTCGGATTCCGCAGGGTTTAAGGGTTTACTGCACGCAAAGTGGGCATGGCGGTACACAGCGGCCCATTAGAGCCCTGGGTCGATTTCCATGCCCAGTAAAAAGACCGCTGTAGACGCAGCCTGGGTGCGAGCATGGTCAAATGCAAGGCTAGTTAAGTGGACCTCACACTACTGTATGTACATTCTAGCCCCGCTTGACATCGTTATCTAGCTACCGCTTATGGCTGCGGATATTCGACACGAGAAGGTACACTGAGACAAGAGATTATGTCTCCGACGACGAAGTGGACATGCAGGGATTATATCAGGCTAGGCCGTCGGAATATGGTTGCATATATAGGTGATGTACTCCGTATGAATGTTTAGAACCAAGCGACTCTTGAGGGGTCTAGCGCAGCGGGAACCTTGACCACTTACAGGTCGCAAAGAACCGCCCAACAGTGAAATCGCTGATTTTAGAGGCCGGACAACATGGAGATCACTTGCTGGCGCTTCAAGATCTCCATAATTGTGCACCGACCCAAACACCGAACGTTTCAAATAAGCGCTGGAGAGTGTGACAGTGTTGGCCCCCAACCGTAGTGCATGTCTACGACGCATCGCTGCAGGAGCCCGCACACCTACGGTTCCTGGCCCCATGGAAAAAATCATATAAGAGGGCTGTTGCTCCTTGACTACACATTTCAATTGCTTTATTCTCAATGCATTCCATATCTATGATTTATTTTCCCACTCCAACTTCAACATCTACTTGACACTTGCATGTCGCCTAATGTGGTGACAGCAACATCCACACTTTGTCAAACATGTGCGACACTGCTCTACATGGACTTCTCTACCGCAGGGAGGGAGCCTTGGAGTTCAGCCTTTAATCTTTTCTGGATGGTCTTGCCCTGTCAAACCAATCCCCTGTCAAACCAATTTGCTTTGAAGCCCCATGATGCGCGACCAAGTCTCGTTCTTTGTGAAGACAAGATCCCTCCCGCTTCGGAAAGCTCAAAGAATGATTTATAAGTCCTGCATCCGCCTTGGAGCACCCAAAGTTACAACAAATTTTCAAGCTTACCTGTTTTAATGACATATCAGAAGGCCTTATAGGAAGTATGCGCGAGAAATGCATCACTCAGGCCTGCTGAAGACCAATACGATGATCAGGAACCGTGACAACTTGGGAATCCCACCTGAAGTTGAAGTACTCTGGATAGAAAGATTATGGCTACGGAACCGAGGATTTGAAAAAAAGAAACTCAATATGAACTAATAGCGCAGGTGGTATATGTACAAAGAATCAAAGGGACGCAGGTCATGATCACGCGAAGGTATGTAAGTTCTCTCGAGCAGATCAAAAGAAAAAAAAGGCGTCTGCGGGAAAGTTGCCGGAAGGTGAGAAGTGGACAGGGCTTCACTCCCTGCCTAAGACAGGAAAAGAGAATGATACCTGTACGGACACAATATTGGAGTCAAGATGACCGAGACATTTCCGGTGAGAATCATGTGCGTAAAGAGCTCAAAAGGAATAGGATGACGACACGCGAAGCGCAACGATTAAGTGGCGTAGTCGAGGTCGACAACCAGACGAACGGGGCCAGGATTCTTCGAGACGGCGAGGTGATCGTTACCCTGGTCGGCGGAGGTGTAGGCGTTGAGGAGGCCACCAAGCAGACCACTGCCGATGTAGGAGCAGTCATCTCCAGCGTGGTCACAGATACGCATGCCCAGAATATCGAGATCGTTAAGCTGAGCAATGATGCAGGAAACGTCATAGCCGGAATAGCCGTCGTTCTTCTCGCTGCTCATGTCGAATTCACCCCAGGTGGAGGCATACTGGCCGAAGTTGGTTGTGGGGATTTTACCCTGAGAGGCAGCCCAACCACCCTGAGAGTTGTCATCGATGGCGACGTACTTGACAGCTCCCTTGGGAAGGGAAAACTGCAGAGCAGCGTTGGGACTCCAGAAACCGTCCATCTTGCCATCAGGGCCATACGTGTTCCAGAAGAGGACGTTGAAAGGTTCGTCGTGGGCGCCCTCGAAACGAATGACGTGCTTGTACGAGCTGGCATCAGCCTCGTCAACCAAGGCGATGTTGCTACCCCAGGGGCTACCGACGTTGCCGATGTAGTCCCAGTCCTTGTCGCCAGTGACTTTACCCTTGGTATCATGGGCCCCACCAAAAGCGGCCTTGTTATACTGGCCGTTGGAAGGAGTGTTGTACCAAGTGCCACCCGAGCTGGAACCGGAGCTGGAGCCGGAGCCGGAGCCAGAGGTCGGAACAGGAGTCACAGTCGACTCGACGTTGCTGGGGAGGCAGTGAATTCGACGGTAGGAGTGATGGTGGAGGAGGTAGAAGTAGAAGTAGAGGTGGAGGTGGAAGTGGACTCAGAGACCTCGCCGAACCAGTTGTTGATCCAGGACTGCAGGACACCATCAATGGTAGCATAGACCATGTCATCGCCACGCTTCTCGACATCGACATCGGCCTTGGGACCGTCAGTGGTAGCGGGAGCGGCAGGGATCTCGACATCGTCGACCTTGGGGTGGGCGTGACGGCGGTCGTGGCCGTGAAGACGAGCGACAGCGGACCCAGCGGTCAGGGCCGTCGCAAGAAGGACGGAGTTCTTGAAATGCATTTTTGGTAGAAGGAAAGTGTGCAATTCGGGATGAATGAATGACTAGAGCAAAAATGCCCTTGGAAAGAATTGCAAAAGAATGTGTGGGTGGTAAGAGAAGGGCAAAGATGGGGCTAGGAGTGGGTTTAGTATGAATTCTTATTATGGGGGGGGACCAAAGCGAGGACCCTTCAGGGGAGTGCGATGTGAGTGACCAACATCTGGTTTTCTCTTGGGTCAGGGGCAGCCTGACTCTGATTGGTGAAAAAGGAGTGGTTCCTGAGCGGGTTGATGTTATCCACGAAGATAATTGGGTGAGGTGGATTAGGCCGAGACCCGTGGGTGCAGAGTGCAAGTGGTCCAGTATTGCCCGTGACCCGCCTCTTGTTGTTGTTTGTACTGGTACTTCTCCAATAGTCACTCCGCCTCTGCCAGGCCAAGTATCACTACTTTGTCTTTCCAATTTTAATTGTGATCAGGCCTCCCCTTTTCTGCAAGATTCACCTTGGATACTACACACGTACGTACTGGGTACGAGTATACTCTGCTGCCAAACACGTGTACCATCGGAATGTCGCCTGCTGGAATGCCACTGACTACTCGTATACTCCCTTCCATACAGGCCTTGACCCTGAAAAGACCCTGACAGACCCTGGATCCTCTGGCGACAAGACCCTCGACGCCTCCCAGACCCCCAATCTATCTATCTTGTCTCCGCCACATCTGGTCCTTTCCCCACAGTACCCAATCGGTGCTGCCCTGCCCCTGTCTTACGTGTCGTGTCTCCTAGGCACAACTCAATGCCAATCCCTTTTTTTTCGCCCAGTGCTCGCCAACCCTCTTGGGGCTCATCCGAACTGGTGGCAGTCGCTGGGCGACTCGTGACGAGTCGGTAATCGACTTTTGACTAAGCGACCAACGCATTTCGAACAAATCATCAACCCATCAACTCTCATCATTCACCGCTCATAACTGATCTCTGTTCAATCCGACAGGTCTAGCCCAGACGATCGACCAACGGCAGACGATTTGCACCATGGGGCTCCATTCCCTACCGGTAACTGGGTCTCAGCCAGGGTGTGTGCGCGAGGAGAGACCTGTAAGGTACGAGCTCGTACACAAACAGTCCTTGACCTCGAATTTTCCGGGCCCACTCGCTCTTCCTTCTTCCTGCATGGTGGCGCTGAAACCTTGCAATTCCACTCCACAGTGACAGTACGATGGTGCAATGTGTATTGCCCTGGCTGCGACGTGGGAGTTTGCTGGGATTTCTTGAATCCTGATCCTTCCGAAAAACTTTAACTGCACTTGGCTTGTTACAGCTACGAGTAGCGCGATAGTCTGCTAAATCAATGTATACATATGGGGCGATCTCATTGACTAGGGAATATAAGGGGTGTATACTTCGTAGGGACTACTGAGTACGGTAAACATACCCATACACATGCATTGGACACAAACCTGGTTGAGGGTTTGAGCGGGAGGACGTTCCGTGGTTCGGACTGCGATCAGCGGCCGCCCAAAGTGGCACCCAAAGACATTCTGAAACGCGTGAGATCAGCCATCAGCCATCAGCCATCGGTGATCTCCTCCTCGTTTATAACTACGCTATCTGCCTTAAAAATAAAGCAATGATGCACAATTACTTCGGTGGAGTGGTTCTATTTACGGAGTACTGTCACAGAGGCTTCAATACCCTAACTCCCGACAAGGCTGCAACCCCGTCCTGATGATCGGCCTGGACACGGGCGAGCCTCGAGCCTGGCTTGAGCTTGCTGCCCCCCCTGAGATTAGTTCTTGCCCAGGTCGACGCCGCCATCGAAAGCGCTTCCGCCAGCCTCCGCGTCCAACTGTACACTCTGGTCCAGCCCACAGACCCGGAAGAGCATCTGCGGCGTCAACTCCTTGTCCAGTCCCGGGATCCCATCTCTCTTCAATTTCTCCAACCCCTCGCGCATGGCCGTCAGCGCAGGTCCAATCGTCGCAAAGGGGAAAATGATGATGCGGAACCCAAGCTCTCGCGCCTCCGCTGCCGAAATGTTCGGCGTGGACCCGTGTTCAACCATATTTAGCAGCAAGGGCCACGGCGCAAGGTCCTGCACCGCCTGGCGCGCCATCTCGCGAGACGTCATTCCCTCAAGGAAACCCACGTCGGCGCCAGCATCACGCGCTGCCCGTAGTCGTGCCAGACTCTCGTCATACCCGTGCGACTGCAATGCATCCGTGCGTGCAATCACCACGATATCGCTGCCCAGGCGTTGACGGGCTTGCACGGCCGCCCGGATTCGAGTCGTGTAGGTTTCCTGGTCAACAAGGAGCTTGCCTGACAGGTGACCGCAGCGCTTGGTCTGCACTTGGTCCTCGATATGGAAAGCCGCAACTCCCGAGCGCGCATACTGCTCTGTGGTTCGGGCCACCATAATTGGGCCGCCGTACCCGGTGTCGGCATCTGCGATGAGCGGTGTGCTGGGTGAGAGATTGGCCAGCATCTCTGCGTTGTTGCGCATGTCGTTCAGCGTGCAGATGCCCAGGTCTGCCTGTCCATGGACAGAAGCTGCGGTGCCGGCGCCGGTCTGCCTTGTTAGCCCAGCCATCCTAATCAGTATTAACCACCACCCAGCGACTTACCATGTACAGCGCATCGAATCCCGCTGCTAGTGCCAGGCGTGCGGACATGCCATCATAGACACCCGGGGCCACCACGAAACCATTGGGGTCTGCCAGTACTCGCCGAAGATTGGTTGCTGCCGAAGGAAGAGCCATGACGTCTTGAATCACTAACGTTCAGAAATAGACAACGGACTTGATAAAAAGCTGCGTAGTTTATATTTGACCAAGGTAAAGAATCGATCGGCTTTTTTCTCACTTTTGCAACCTTTTAAAGACAGCTTCCACGTGTGTCACCAAGCTTTTTTTTCCTCACTTCCCCACCATGAATTGTTCGGCGATGATGCGCTCTCCACATCGATGTGCCGACGGTGCCGATACCGGGCTTATGTCATGGTTCGGTCTTTTCTCGGTGTCGCCGAGCTATACAATCAGGAGATCAGAAGTAGAGAAATCATCTTCATTGTTACCCCAGTTAAATCAGTAGCGATGTCGGGGCCAACGGCTGATTCTCTCCAGGAATCATGCGTTGAACATTGATATGGCCTCGGTGCCGTTGCCCGCGGTAGACCCGGGCGGGGTAGTCTCGCATATGCACTCCTCGAGTCTCTGGGGGGAAGGTTCAAATAGAATGAATGAATGAATGAACAAGTCTGTCCTTTTCCTCATTTCTGTCCCACAGTCTTCTGTAAGATAAAACTACCAGTACAGTAGGAACCTTGAAACTTTCGACAGAACGACAGCAACTAAGACGGGTCTTGGCAATGGCTTAAAGATGAGTCATCATTCGGCCGAGCGATCTATATCCAACACGATGAGTAAAACCTCGATTGATAAAGAAAGCCCAGTCTGTGCCCAGGTGTCGGGGTTCTACAAGCCCGATTGATCAGTAATGGCTGGTTATGATGTGGGAACATAGGGAAGTCTACGGCCATTCATTGTATATTTAATTACTATATATCTCCTGTAGCACCCTCAACTCAGAGCAGTATCTCAACTATACTCGACACCCAGTATTCTTACAACTTGAAAATGGGCCAACTGAAAGTCACCCCTCTCCGATCCAACCTCGACTTAGCTGGGAAAAAAACCGTCGTAACCGGGGCCAGTGCAGGCATGGGCCTTGAAACAGCTCGCCAGCTCCTAGCTCGAAACTGCGACACTTTGATCCTCGCGGTGCGAAACACGACCAAAAGCGAAGCCTGCGCGCAAGAACTCCTCAACATCCCCGCCATCAAAGCGAAAGCAAAATATTCAGTGGTAAAAATCCTACCCCTGGATGTGGACCGCTATGATAGTGTGCAATCCTTCGCGAAATGCCTTCAAAAAGAGGTCCCCGTCGTGAACATCCTCATTCTGAACGCAGGCATTGCACGATTGAACATGGAACGAGCGTCGACAGGTCACGAACGATGTTTACAAGTAAACTACCTTTCTAACTCTCTTCTTCTTTTTGAATTACTTCCCTACCTATACTCATCGGCCGAGAAATCTGGTTTCGCTACCCGAGTCACCTGGGTCGGAAAGTCGGAGGCATGACGGTGGAGGAACGTTCGAGTCGACACCCCCAGCCCCCGGATCCTCAATACTGAACCGACTTGATTCTGATGAGAGGAGCTCTGTCACCACCCGGTATGCGGATAGTAAGCTTCTCTGCGTGATGTTCATGTACTCCCTGGCGCCGCGTTTGGATTCTAGCAAGATTGTCTTGAATATGGTTTGTCCCGGTATGATTAGCACTGGAATGAGTGATTTCCTGCCATGGTATGGACGGGTGTTAGCTGGTGCTTTAAAGGTAGTAAAAGGAACCCGGCCAGTTGAGGTTGGCGGTCTCTTGATTTTTAATGCGGCTGTCGTTGCTGGGGTGGAGAGCCATGGGAGACATCTTAGTGATAAGGAGATCATTGAGTAAGTGATTCTTCCTCTTCCTTGATTGCAGCTCGAGCTAATCATTTAGGGTGTCTAAGTATATTTGCTCTGAGGCGGGCCAGGCTGTACAGAAGACGCTGTGGGAGGAGACCTTGCAGGAGACGAGGGAGATCACGTCGCTGCCGGTTGAAATTTCTTGAATACCTATCTCTGGACTTGAGAATCGGTCGGGTGTTCCTAGTTTATTTGTGCTTTATTTGTGTTATATGTATAGATTTTCTCGAATTCGACTTGAGGGGAATATTTTTGTTTTGATCTACGTGAGGGAAGCCCAGAATTCACTATCAAACAGATCTTCCAGATAATCTATATCTCGTGGAGCGTCTGGCATCTCCGATAGAGTGCTTTTGATCGGGAAATTTTGATCAAAATCGCAGTTGTTGTCCACTTCAAGTTGTTGCCGCATCTTGCGAATCACGTTCATTGATGGCAATGCTGATTCACACTGTACTGGTATCAGACTAGAAACGGAGCGCCAATATGTGATATACTCATCCACGCAGAACAGCATTTCTTGCCGATATATGTTTTCGCAATGGGCGTTTATGAGGAAATGCAGTATTAAGAAAATGCATCGACGTGGGCCATAATAGGATGACCAAAACCATGAGTATGGATTGAAGGCCGGTACTTGACAGAGTTGCAAGTAGCACCGCATGTAGCCGAGGCATAGTCGAACAATGCGGTTCCAGGGGAAATGAGGCACCGACGTTGAGCCCAGGTCCGGAAGTAAGGCATGTTGTAGCATTATTACCGATTCCAGCTTGGACAGGAATAGCACTATCCTGGTACAGGTACTCCATACGGTAGGCTCGTTTACACGGTCTTCATAGAGAGCTGGGCTCGAACCTGGAGATGCATTCGCCAAGGAAGACGGAATCATGCCTTTCTCGGGGATTCCCTGCACGGGTATCTTGGCAATCAGCTCGTCGATGAAACTATGCAATTCCTTCGTGGATTTGACCAGGCTCCTGATGTGTTTGGCCTGCACCTTCCCTGTTCTTTGGAAAATATCAACCATCTGGTGCTGCAGTTTTGCTGTTCGAAATCTGCCAATTGCGTGTATCATTATCATTGAGATTCGGAGTCCGAAATTATCAGAGGATATGACTTCACGGGAGTTCGTTGATTCGGCGTTGCTAGGGGTGTATATTAAATCTGATATCATCCGAGAGGCCTCGATCATAGTCCAGTTGCAACACGTCGGCAAACCAGTGGCAATGCTAGTTTGTAAATCCAGCCAGACTATATGCCACCAAATACGCCGTTTATGCTCTGCCGAGCTTGAAACAAGCTGGGGACATGCAGCATCAAGATGAAGCCCCATACTATGGGCTAGACGCTGGGTGGTAGTTATGAAAAAGCTGTTGCTGAGTCCTTTATTCACGTCAAAATGGTAGGCTATTATCGAGGCCGTCAAAGAATGGAGGGTTGGGTGATCAATATGCCGGCATGCAGCCAGGCTCTCAGAGCAAGCTAGCTGTAGCTGGTCGATAGTTTGTAGCTGATCTAGATCCTTCAGTGGAGCTGAATTCCATTCAGAAAAGGGAAGAGCCGATGAACCGGCGTACAGAATGGCCCAAATAAGACAGACATAGGTGGGATCGTCGAGCAGTTTTGGATGAACAAGAGACTCGGGGCTACCACTGGCAAATAAATGCCAGAAAAGATGGTACTGAGGTATGAAGGTCGGAGGGTTTATCAAAGGGTATATAGGATATACCCTCACGAGAAAAGACTGCAGCAGGGCATCGCATACCGGCTTTGTTGGAAGCCGGGGAAGGAGTTTCGCCAGGGCAAAAGACGAAATATATGGTGGTGGCATAGATGGCTCGCCTTCTGGCTCGTTGTAGAAGAGATACCGAGGGATTGAAATCGTGTCAGCAACATTTTTGTCTTCTACAAAGGCCCAGAATCCTTGCCCAATATGTCGTTCTCGAGCACCGACTCTGGTTCTTGATCCCCGGTAAACATCCACATCCAGATTGTCCACATCAGTATTGCGGTGGCTAGAAGAGGAAGGTATATAACCATTATCAACACACCCAACAATCAAGTCCTGGGAGACAGAAGATATAGCCTCTTCTTGTGGTTCCATTCGAGAAACTCGGCCCGTTTCTGGATCACGAGTACCCGTATTATAGACGCATGTTCTGCCGAGTCGTAGACAAGCAGTGCAGTGAGGCCTCAGCTTGTCGCAACGTCTTTTCTGACGACTACATTCGAGGCAACTATATGCCAAACGAGGCCGTGTGACCCGATTTCTCTCTGGTGGCATTTCAAGAGAAGCTGAAGGGAGGTACCACGGATGCCTTGTTTGTAGTTATGCTTCCAGAAGTCTTAAAGCAACATTCCAGCTGTCACAATGTCACGGCATAAAATCGGTGGCCACTGGCAATTGCCTGGCATTTACCTCGAAGAGCCAGTGCTATATGATACATGTCAATGATGCCGTCTTCGGAAGTGCCAGTGCCAGCGCCGGCGGGGAACAAAATCGCAGATCGCGCCTTAGTCATCATTCTGGAACCTTGGGACTCACCAGGCGATTTGATTCCATTTCACTTCTCCACCATCTCGAATTGTCCTCTCGCGGTGAAATGCGACCACCCCTCGGCTAGTGTGTCCCTCTCCGATTCTCTTCACTTTCCCCACAGATGGCTCGCCCCTCCGTCGTTCAAGAGTATGCCGCGCCCTCAACGACCCTGAGTCTCGACCACAAGGTCACCAACCAACGCCAGCTCTACAAAGTACAGCGGCCACAGGGCTACCAGGTCTCATGGCACGCCAATCCTGCCGTGGAGGCGCATCATTTCGGCCAGTCACACCCCATGAAGCCATGGCGGCTGACCCTCACCAAGCAACTCGTCATGGCCTACGGCATGCACCACGCGATGGACCTGTACCTGGCGCGCGCGGCAACATATGAAGAGCTCGCCGATTTCCACGAGTCGGATTATCTGGATTTCCTGCGGCAAGTCATGCCGGGCGACATGGACCGGGCGGAGCAGAGCGAGAACGTGGTGCGATTCAATTTTGGCGACGACTGTCCAATCTTCGACGGGTTGTACAACTACTGCTCATTATACGCGGGCGGGACCGTGGACGCGGCGCGTAAGCTCTGCAACAATCAGTCGGATATCGCGATCAACTGGTCCGGTGGGCTGCACCACGCCAAGAAAGCCGAGGCCAGTGGCTTCTGCTACGTCAATGATATCGTCCTGGGTGTCCTGCAGCTACTGCGCCACCACCCGCGCGTGATGTATATCGATATCGACGTCCACCATGGTGATGGCGTCGAGCAGGCCTTCTGGTCCACGGACCGCGTGCTGACGGTCTCCTTCCACAAATATGACAAGGATAACTTCTTCCCCGGGACTGGCGCCCTCGAGGACACGGGACCGAATCACCCTCTTAACCCAGGCGCCCACCATTCCATCAATGTCCCGTTGAACGACGGCATCGACGACGATTCTTATATCGACCTTTATCACCAAGTGATTGGAGCCTGCGTGGAGAACTATCGGCCCGGCGCCATCGTCCTCCAGTGCGGCGCTGACAGTTTAGGATGTGACCGTCTCGGCTGCTTCAATCTCAACGTCCGCGCCCACGGTGCTTGCGTCGCTTTCACCAAGACATTTGGCTTACCCCTCCTCGTTGTTGGTGGTGGTGGCTATACACCACGCAACGTTTCTCGCGCCTGGGCACACGAAACCTCCATCCTCATTGACGCGGACCAGGTGATCGACTCGACGATTCCAGAGTCCGTGGCGTTCCGTAATCACTTCGGTCCTGACTATTCGCTCTTCCCGCCTCTGTCCGAGATAAGACGCCTCGAGAACAAGAATTCACGCCCTTACCTCGAAGGTCTGGTCGAGGCTGTCCACGAACAGCTCCGTTACATTAAGGGTGCTCCCAGCGTTCAGATGAGTTTCATCCCACCAGATCTCCTCGGCCTGCGAGAAGAAACCGAGAAGGAAATCGAAGAGCAAATGGCCATGATGGAAGAGGAAATGGAAGAACAAGAGGGCAATGGCTCGGCTGCGTTGGCTGCAGCTAATCTTATCGAAGATGTACCTGGTTCCGCGGGTGGCATTCCACGCCCAAACCGGCGCCGAGACTTGGAACGGGGAGCCGGGTATAAAGGCGAGCTATACTCATGACACTGAGATTGGTTGGTTTGATGGGATCAAATAAACTCAATTCAACAGAGTGGGTCATTGATTTGGCCTTGTTCTTCTACCGGGCTGGCTCCGGTACGGGTCTCAGGGCGTTGGTTTTGAAACAAAATATTTGGGTTAGGAGTTTGGTGGTTGTTTTGGATGGTCATGGTTTCGTCTGCCATCTAATATCGTGATATCCCGGGCGAGGCGAACGTTGTACTTTTACTGTAAAGACAAACCGAAGACACGCAAAGATACAAAGAAAGCATTCATTCATGAAGTGAGATATATTGAAGTAAAAACCCAAATGCGCTTGAATGGCACTGTATATAGAGCTCGCTGCCTTTGATCTATGAGTATTGCCTGCCCACTTCCCGACCATGCAATTCGTATTTTTGCTCGTTCTTTGCCCTCTCCACAGGACTCTTTTCTGTATCTTTCAATATTCCGCAATGAAACAAACCATGCTTTACGATATAGTGCACGCCCTCCTCCCCCGTTGAACATTACTACGTACCTCTCCCATAAGGTCCCCTTCGTCAGGCATCATGTGAGTCAATAGATATTCGATTTCTGTATTTTCTGTCGGTTCGCTGCATCTTTTTATTTTGTCAAATCAAATCGGGTATCCAGCAGTGGCGTGGCGTGGCGTCGTAGGCCAGGAAACGCGGAAACGCTTGTGTTGAGCATCATGAAGAAGGACGGAGAAGAGACGATGGATCGTCGTTTCCCAGACGCCGGGGTACTCGTGCTGGTAGTCATAGTAGTAGTCTGCGCAGGTTGACTACGTCGGCTGGTGGACTGCCAAGTGGCGAATTTGATATCGGAGAGCGGCAACTTGAAGACCGTGAGGCCTTTCAAACAGCCAAATTCACAGCCACTTGTTGGTTCATTGCTTGTCCTCCGCGCCCACTACCTCTTCCACGTCCTCGAGTTGGGTGCTTTTCTGCTGCACGTTGTTCGTATTTCCATCAACGTTGGTCCCTGTCGATGAGCCTGCGGTGACGGGATTAGCTGCCGAGTCCTGTAGTTTGGGGCACCGGGTGCGCCATGGAAGCCTTGGGCTGATGCGGCGGGATTTGAAATTGAGTTGATTGTTTCTGACCTTTGACGATGGGCGCGATGGCGAGGATTTGTTTCTTGGCGGTCTCAGGATCATGCGCGTCACTGGCAGCTATACGTCAGCCAAGAAACCCCACAAATCAAAATGTTCTCGCAAACTTACACTTCGGCGTTGATAATCCAGTCGAGGTCCTCTTCTCCCTCGTCCTGACCGCCAGGTCCACCCTCCACGGCACGGAACAGTCGGGGCCGCCATTCGACGCCTTCATCCGCGCGCTTGGCGGCCTCTTCTCGTTGCCGGTCTTCAATCTTGGTCTTTTCGTCCGTTGCCGCTTCGTGATTGCGAGTGTTGATCGCCTTGACTGTTTCGAGCCATAGACGTTGCGATTCGCGTTCTCCTTGTTCCTCGATAGGGCGCGCGGTGGGCTTCGAGTGCTTCGCGTGTGTCGCATCGAATAGAAGTTCTTTGTGGTGGGTCTACTCTAATTGTCAGTGCATAGGACCAATAGATAGGTCGTGGAAATAAACGTACTTTGACATCCTTCAGATGCATCTCGCCATTCCAGAGACCGGATAACTCATATAGAACTTCCCCTGTCTTCTCATTTTTGATTGTGCCTCCAATAGCATTATATGTGCCGGAGAAGTAGCCCTTGGTTTTAAACTCGATATCGGCCACGAGGTTGTGCTCCGGGCATCGCACGTAGCTGTGATCGCCAAGCTCATACTTCATCTTTCCAAAAAGAATACCGCGGGCGTACATGTTGGGTTGCGTCAATATACTATGACGTCGGTTAGCACTTCCGCCGAAAGGAAACTCTGCTGCGCGGGGAAACCCACTATCGTTCGCCCTTCTCTTTGTCTTCACCGTGGTTCAACAGGCGCAGAATAGCGATTCCTTCCATCATGCTAGCAGCTGAGTTACCTAAAAACTTGCTGCGGGGCTTCAGAGTGCCATCGATGCGAATATTGTGCTCCGGGGCCATGAAAAAGTAGCTCGACTTGGGCGGATGGTGGGAGGTCTGTTCCGAGATATAGTATCCGCGCGTTCCATCGGGGTAATCCCAGTAGCTAGTAAAGGTTTCTCCAAGAATGGGATTCAAAGGTTTCTTCACTCCTCTATCTGATTGTTAGTCCCCGTGTGTCCATGGGGGCGGAATCCCCTCCGAAAAAGAAAAAAAAAGGCCAGGAAGCGGGGAGCGGGGAACAGGGAACAGGGAACAGGGAACAGCGACGTACGGAGGTTTGATATGCCAGCCGCTCAGATAGAACTTGACAACGGAGATAAATCGCTCGGTGGGATCGTCAATCGTCGTCATGGGCAGGAGGGTTTCGGGATGGGCCATGAAACTATTCCAAGGTCAGCGCGCATGTCCAACTTTGGACTTTTTGGGAAGCGTTAGGCAGTGGCGGGGAGACGTACTTGGTGATGCGCTCAAGCATGGACCGGGGCTCGAGAATAAAAGTCGGTAGGACGACTCGACTCAAGTCGGCACCCGGTCGCAGTTGGGAAATAATGTGGGAAAGCACTGCCAGAGTTGTCAGCTGGAGGAGACGGAGATGCGGCGGCGCCGGAGAGGAGGGGAACTGTGAGTTACCATTTCCCTGATCAGGCTCGACGACTTCATCTTCACCACTGACGGGTGAGTCGTCAACAGAGGATCGACCTGGATGATGGGAGTCAGACATGGTGGTGGATTAACCGGGGAGAGAAGAAAGAGAGAGAGAGAGAGAGAGAGAGGTGGAGTTCAAAAACACTCACTGGCCCAAGAAGCACGGCGGAGGCCCGGGACCGGCATTGCTGCGTTCGGAAGCCAGAAAGCGTAGTGTGTTTGTGTGGGGGAGAGAATGGACGTTAAGAGTTACCGCACCACATCTGGGGAAAAGAAAAAAGGAACCAGAAGGTGAGGAGTAAAAAAGAAGAAAAAGAAAAAGAAAAGAAAAGATGACAGAAAAGGTAAAGTGTGGACAAGAGAGGGAAGGCTGAGACAGGCTGAGAGAAGAGGGTGACTACAACAGTTCTCCCTGAAATTTAATTCCCTTCTTTTTTTTGGGTGGTCAAAATAGGCGGATTTTGGGGCTTATACGGTACAAAAGGCTTAGCCTGGTGACGTCGAATGGTGTCTCTGACTTGTTGGGAATGAAAGGAATCAATTCATTGGTTCAAAGTGGTAATTTGATGGTCCAGGGTCCTACCTAACTTGAAGTAAACTAAACTCCGGACTAGTACGGAGTACGGAGTATACAAACGACACCTTAGGGTTCTTTAGGGTACCTTAGGGTACCATAGGGTACCACTAGAAAGAATGGAGGGAGCCTAGCTGCATATTGTACCTGGGTTTACTCATGCCCGTACTCGTATTCATAGCTGGCAACCTTCAAGTTGGAACCCTTGATAGTCTGGACGACTCCCCATTCCCATTCCCATTCCCATCCTCTTCCTTGAATCCCCTCAGATCGTCATGAGGGGCAACGCCTTGGCGCGGGGAGCTGACCGGTCGGGGAATACATATTCAATGCATGCAGACGCACTCTGATCCACCCGTTCACTCTCACACGCACACCCGCTCGATCAACGGCACGTCGTCCCCGGTGATCTCCCGCACAAATGCCATATCTGGGCGATGGAGCATGACGTGGAAGTGTTCAACCGCATGGACCGACTTGAGTGACTTCCAGTTCTTGAACCAAACCACCTGCTTCCGTGCCACACGTGAGTAGAATGTTGAATGTACATATTGTTCAATCGCCGCCCGCGCATCGCTCGTCAGTTCGCCCGTGGCCGGGTCATCTGCGAGCTCGAACTTGGTCCATACCACTAGGTGGATGATGTCTTTGTCGATGCCATAGGGCCAATCGTTGTAGAGAATCTTAATGTCCTCTGGTTTACCCCGTCAGCTCCAGTCGGACCTCTCCGATGATCTTCAGAATCAAAGGAAGCTGTAGCAGCAACATACCCTCGAATTCGAATGGACCCCCCTTGGGTTGGAGGTCCTGAGTATTGCCATCTCCCCATCCAAGCCGCTCCTTGACGACAAACTGCATCACCGATCCATATTCCGCTTTAATTTGAGCCGTGTATTCAAGGTATTTTCGTAAGTCGCTGGGCACACGCTGGAATCGATCGATCCGGTTCGTTTCTGCGGGAGGCGCGCCCTGGTCAGCAACAATCGGCCCTAGCACTCGCCCACTGCATGGGCTAAGAAATAAGCTCCACTCAACTAATTATCTCCTGCACCAACTCCCAGTCCTGTCGCCGATACTCCTTGTCAGGCGTTGATAGACATCGAATATTCTTGTCCGGTTGATCTCGTAGAAAGCTGGGGCATTCGGCCGGCCATTGCGATCGGTGCACATTGACCAGCCAGAAGGGCAAGGTCTTGGCTGTGATGTTGTAATCGTGTAAGAACTGCGCCGGCGCCGTTGTATCGGCATCCGTTAGCTTCTCGTCAAGCAATGTGATCGTCGCCGCAGGCGTCGACGCGCCCGTAGTACCGTGCGGCATGATGTGCGGTTCAGGAGTTTAGGGTTCGATCGATGCGGTAGTTGGAGGCAACTATAGAGAGACTCGACACGTTTGAAGCTACTCACGGCGCTGGGGGGTTTGTAAGGGGCCGAGAAGGGAGAAGCGCAGGGACGAAGACGTCCCTGGAAGATTGAGTAATCCAGAATGTCCAACAATTGTCGATCACCGGGTCGTTCAACCCACCGGAATCCACACGGCCGCGGTTGACGTCGGTTGAGCCCGTGCCCGCGCCTCTCCTAAATACCCCGGGAAGCAATTTTGTAAGGATTGGATCTTCTGTAGTACGCAACAATAGGAAGCTTTTGAGATTCCTGGCTGGAAAATCGGTATTTTAACAACCATTAGAAACCCTAATCTGACCAAACTTTTCAATAATATAGTTATATAAAAAGGACAATGGCCGCGTAAGCTTTTGGTACAAATAGTTATAGGTTTGAAATAGGTATAGGTTATAAATGGTTTTCAAATGGTTGTGGGTTTTCAAGGGTGATCAAATAGTTGTAGGTTCCTAGGGGTTATTAAATAATTATTAGTTACTACCTAGGTAAATAGTTATAGCTTTCTAATTATTATATTACTATTATCTATATTATACAATCCTATATAGAGAGAGTAGTATTAGCGAGCATAAAGCAAAAGCGTATATAAACAATGCGTAACTGACCTTACAATAACGGAGTGTAGGCCAGGTATATCCAAGTCGGATATAGTAGAAGTAGGAAGTATTATAGATAGAGATAAGGTCATAGAGATATATATTACTACCTAGATACCTAGCCTAAGTAGGTATTAATTAACTCTAACATTATAATCTACAATTATTCAACAACTATTTAATAAATATTTTATAATCCACAACTATTTGAAAACCGTTTGAAAACCATTTGACAATCCACCGCTATTTGACAACTATTTTGTAATCTACAACTATTTGAAAACTATTTGACAACTATTCATTACTTTGAATAGTAATTTCTGAATATATGTATCTATATCAATATAGTATAACTACTAGGTTATTATAGTTTATGAAATTTGAATAGCTTTCTAATAGTTGTCAAAATATTCATTTTCCTGCTAGGTTCTTTGTCGAAAGGCTCTTTGAAAACTTAACAAAATCCGAGTCGGAGTTAAAGCCAGATGGCTTGGTATGTATTACAGCGTGGAGAGTTAAAACGTATTAATATTCAGAGAATCACATCATCCACAAACGGAAACCGGGGGTATCAGACAAAACAACGCTATAGCCACGCCAAAGTCCACAACGCCGGCAGATTGGGATACTTCTCCTGCCAATCTGCCAAGATCTCAGGGACACTTTCATCAAAACTCAGACGGGCTGCACCTGTCCCGTTCTCCCATCCGCCAGGCCCATGAAGGTCTCGCTGCGCAATGGCTGATTCATTGAGACGATTCGCAAGATCCAGAATGGCATTGCCACCCACTAACGCTTCTTCATGATTATCCTTAATATCAACGTTGAAGACATGCACCGGGCGGTTGAGCGTGTTGCCTTTGTTCATGAGGTCGTCGACGACGGCGTCCCAGCAACGTTCTTCACAAGTTATGATCACATCCACGACGCCTGATTCTGTGCCTAGGGAGCCCTTGTCGCCCTTGGAGACGTGTTCGACCCGCGGGAGGCCAGGGACCCAATCCTGGAAGCGCTCGGGGCCCCATTTCAGGTTGCGGTTGCGGTCGAGCATATTTAGGATGCCGTTTGTGCGGTACAGGCGCTCGTCTTTATCGTGCAGCTCCTCGTACATTTGGTTGTAGGAGGTGGTATTGAAGCTGTACACGTTGGGCTGGGTGATTGTCGGACCTGGGAGTCGGACAAGTGAACCGGTGCCGAAGGAGATGACTGGGAAGGCAGCGGCAGCGCCAGCCAGGCGAAGGTGGGCTTCCATCGAACGGTTGTTATTTGAAGCGCATACCGTGCAGAATTTCAGCTTCCACGAGTCCGTGGGAGCCTCGTTCTGGATGGTGTCCGTGGTTTCATTCATGGTGGGAGCTGATTCGGGCGGTGGGGGAGGAGGGGGAGGAGTTTGGGGGGGTTGTACTCCCACTGTTGACAAGGCGAGGATCATACGCCATGGTTGTGGTGTGTGGGTGTAGGTGTGTATGTGTGTGGAATAGAGTAGTAGACTATGGAATTGAGAGAAAAAGAAGAGGACTATGAGAGGAACGGATTCTGCCTTGAGAAAATGGATCAAGGAGGCTCAAGTATGGGTTTACAATCTCCTGTTATTGACTTATTTTGGAATTAGCATGAGTTCCAAAATTGATGGTGTACATCAAGAGAAGTGAGGGTAATGAAGTTCAGATAAAAAAGCGTATAAAGAGTTTGTCCGCAGTGCCGAAGCTCAGACAGCTCCAATAAATATAAGATCATCATGTAAAGGAGTGGGGATGGAGAGGGATTAAGGTAGGAGATGATTGACATACCGTGAAATTACTGCTCATGTTCTGTAGAATCAATGAAATGCTCAATTGGGGCCGTAGCCCTTGGGGAGAAACAGAGGAGAGGAGAAAGAGAAGAGAAGAGTTCAAGTTGGCAGGCAAGTTCGGTTGTTTTAGCGCCGGCATGACTAAGCTGTGGCACCCCCAGGTCTTGGCTCTACCTTGGATCACGCTTGGTACTACTCATACTCCATACTAAATAACTCCATGCCGTCTGACTCTAAACCTGGAGCTGCAGCTGCAGCTGCAGATGACTCTATACGAGCAGAGAACAGGCCATTTGTGCCAGCTCTCATTGTGGTTGACATGCAGGAGGACTTCTGCCCACCCGTGAGTGTACTGGCCATAGCTCCAAGCTCGATCGTGCTGATGTGAACCCACTACGACTCGGAAAATAGAACGGATCTCTAGCTGTGCAAGATGGTCGGACCATTGCCCCTTTAATCAATGACCTCCTCGCCAAGCCTGGCTTCGTGACGCGCGTTGCAACGCTCGACTGGCACCCCGCAAATCATATCTCCTTCGCCGCCAACCACCCTGCACCGAATAACAAGCCCTTTGTGTCGTTGATCGAAATGAAAAACCCGGCCCCGGGAAAATCTACCGAGACGAAGCCACAGCGCCTCTGGCCTATCCACTGCATGGCAGACAGCCATGGTGCAGCTTTGATCCCAGAGATTGAGAGCAATCGCGTGGACTTGCTCGTCCACAAAGGCCAAAACTCGCAGGTCGAGATGTACTCTGCCTTCGCAGATGCCTTTGGCAACCATGGACTAAAAGGAGCCGGGGGCTCTGTTGATGTTGATCTGGCATTTGAACTCCGGACAAAAGCCGTAACAGACGTTTTCGTAGTGGGATTGGCTGGGGACTACTGTGTGAAATCCACGGCACTAGATGCTGTCAAGGCTGGGTTCCGAAGCTGGCTCATCGAAGATGGGACTAAATGCGTCGTTCCCGCTGACTGGAATAAGACAAAAGAGGAGCTTTGTGCTGCTGGAGTCGTCGTGATTAACGCCAACGACGCGGTCATCATGAGGCTGGCAGCGGTATAGATGAGAATATTTCCATACTCTACACTAAGGGCTAGGGGACTACTTCCCTTCAATTCATCGATCCATCTACTCTACTATGCCAAACAATCGCAAATAAATTAGTGGAGAAGAATATCCATAGACAACCTCATATCTTCATTTGAGCTATGAAAAGAGTAGCAAAGGGGTATATTGATGCGCTGAAAGTTTGGGACATGGACGTCGTAAAACAAGCCCCTTCATTACGAGTCACTAAAAGTGGCGCCGAGGTGCCCGAAAACTTGGATATTCGCTGCCGGATCGTCAGGAGCCTGCTGGGCACGACGGCTGAGCTGCTCTTCGACTCGAGAGGGACCAATCACCTCGTTGTTCAGATGGGTGTACTCCACACCCGTGTTAGCAAGTATTGCCTGGATCGGGTCAATTTGAGAAGCCTCGCGTTTGATGCTATTGTCATCGTATTTATCTCTCTCGCCACGGATCTCGGCAGCAAGTTGACTCATCCCGTCATCTTCGTCCTTCATTGGCACACCATCGGCACCGAAATCCTCCTCTTTGAATTTGAAATCCATGACGTTCACACCAGCGAGGCTTTCGGCTACCTTGGTCTTGTTGATGATCTCACGAAGGAAAAGCATTTCATGCTCATACTTGAACAGATTCTTCAAGCCGAATATCTCGCCTTTTTGGTCGGATTTAGCCTGGATGCCCTTGAAGTAGCGGCGCTCAGAGCTTGCGGTATACCCAATCTCTCCCTGTTGTTGTTTATAGATCTGTCGTGCATAAACAATTTCTTCGATTGTACCAGCAGAGACCAGTCGGAACACCTCGACATCACGCTGCTGTCCAATTCGATAGGCTCGATCTTGCGCCTGGAGGTCATACGCTGGGTTCCAGTTTGGGTCCACAACAACGACCTTGTTTGCCGATGTTATGTTTAGCCCGACGCCACCTGCCTTGGTCGAAATCAGGAACACAAATTGTTTCGGGTCGGAATTGAATTCATCCACGACTTTAGCGCGCTCATCGTAGGATAAGGATCCATCGAAATACTTCACGTTATAGCTTGTATTAACGAACAGCATTTGTAGCATTTTCAGAAGTCGGACACTGTGCGAGAAGACCAGGACCTTATCGCCATTCTTGTGCCACCACTTAAGGAGCCTTCGAAGGACTTTCCACTTGCCACAGAGCTCGGGATTCGCAAAGTTAACAATGGATTCTCGGGACTTGTACAATTCCTCCCACTGATCTGGTAAGGCTATCTGCAGCATCTCAAGCTCTTTTTCCTGCTTTTCTGAGGAGTCATTTTGTCGAGGCATGAGAATTGCAAGATGGTTGCTAAGTTTCTGCAGCACCATTATGGCGGGAAATACAAATGATTGCCAGGTGCTATCTGTTCCAGGAATGATTCTTCGACAGCACCAGCCAGAGCTCTTGCCCGAGCCACAATCACAGTCTTCCGTCGAGTACATGATGTACTCCACAATGGTGCTTCCTAGGAAGCTCTCATAGGCCTCTGCCTGCGTGGTTGTCAGAGGGCAGAATACCACTCGGTCGCTCTTTTTTGGTAGCTGATCAGCGATCAAAGTCTTCATCCTACGTAGGAAGAATCGCGGCAACAAATTTTTGACAAGCATTCGGGCAGTTCTTCGAGCCCTGCGGAGTTGACTCCAGGTTGCTGTGTGTGATTGGCCGACCTTCAAAGGTTCCGCAATGAATGTGTTCCATTCAGACATCGGACCAAGCTTGCCAGGGTTTGCCCAGTTCAAAAGTGTCCACAGCTCCTCGTATCGATTCTGGATAGCTGTACCGGTGAGTCCGATACGGCAAAGAGCGTTGATTTCGTTCATGGCCTTCGTCACTCCGGCCGTTTGTTCCTTGATTTTGTGACACTCGTCCGCAATCACGCAGTCCCATTCCACCATGTTGACAAAATCCTTGTTTAATGAGTAGGTTTCGTAGGTCATGATCAAAATTTCTACTCGTCCAGACTTTGCGGCATCAAGGGCAAGCTCCTTGTTTGGGCCGTGGTACTCATCAACGTGCCACCACCCCCATCGGTCAAATTCGGCTCGCCAATTCGATTTCAAGGACCCAGGACAAACGATCAAGGTGCGAGGATACCAGGGGTTACTATCCACTCTTCGCATTTTCCGCATCCGCTTGGAATCTCGTTCATCACCAGTTTTGCCATAGGCCGCGGTTAAGAACGCAATGACCTGAATAGTCTTCCCCAGACCCATGTCATCACCAAGGATACCGCCCGTTTGATAGACAAACATTTCATGTAGGAAAGCCACTCCGTCTACCTGGTAAGGTCGCAGCCACCGTCCGATAGCCGCGGGAACCAGACCAAGTGAGCATGGAAGTTCGATATCCTCATATGGTCGGGGTGGATCACTATCCGGGAAGAATGGCCTTTCCTGCAGGTACTCGAGATTTTCGTCATCAGAGAACTCGATGTCGTCGTAAGAAGGCGGAATTTTCAGACCGTGTACCTGGAGGTGTTCTCTTTTCCGATTGAACTGTGATCGCCGTTTTTGAAGATAGTCAGGAAGCGGCTCCGCGAGTTCGTCTTCGGAGGGTACATTGTCGCGTTGTTCTTGTAGGTATTTCTTGGCTCCGATGGATAAACCCCCTTGTGTTGATGAGGTTGACACCACGCCATCTCCAGATTCTTCTATCTTGGGGAATTTTTGCTTTGCTTTGCGAGTTGCAGCTGCGTTCCGTCTTCGTTTTGTAGATTTGCGGTCTTTGAACTTCTTGTATGCAGCCTCGCCATCATTGAAATCGTCGTCACTGTCATCAAATTGAACCTTTACTGGTTCAGACTGAGGACCTTTTTCGATTTTAATGTCTTCACGATTTCTGCCTTGGAGATAGTGAGCTGTGAGTGAAGTGGAGCATGCGACATGCCATGCATGCATACCTGAGATAGCCGCGCGCGAGTACCGCGTCGGTTCCAAATCGTCGTCGTCGGACGAGTCGATAGAAATAATCTCTGTACCAGCTCCGAGGCTATTCATATTCACTTCTCTGCATAGTTGAGCACAGGTCGAATCGTGTTGAGGGTGTAAGCTTCTCGGAGTCGCGAAGGGGGAGCAAAGGCGGAGAAGTTCAGAAAGGGCGATGTCATTCCCGATCGGCCGGAAAAAAAAAAGCTGGCGTCTCCAACCACAAACTTTTGATCTCTTTAAGGCGACCACACGACCTTTCTGACCGACATTGGGCAATCACAAGGTTCTAGGCGGGACTTACTTACACGTCATCATAGCATTTCCCTGTGGGTTTCAAGTTCCTTCGGTTTCTTATGCTATGTGGTGACAGCGATAGGCTAATTGACATCCCACTTCATCAGGTCCCGATAGAGCTTGACAAGCTTGCTTTGCGATTTATTTACGGTTCCCGATATCTCTCCGTATTTTACAAGAGCGCTTTAGCCAACATGCCTCTTGATACCTCGACCACATACCCTCTGACCCGGCTGCGCCTGGATGGTCGCCGATGGAACGAGCTCCGCTTGCTGCAAGCGCAAATCTCGACCAACCCGGCCAGCTCTGGATCATCCTACCTCTCAATGGGAAACACTGCGATTATGTGCTCTGTTCACGGTCCTGCCGAGGGCCGTCGGGGCGAGGCTAGTGGTGCCGCTGGCAGTGCAGGTGCCATCGTCGAGGTAGACGTCAATGTGGCTGGTTTTGCTAGCGTGGATCGCAGGAGGAAAGCAGGAGGAAGTGACAAGTAATTACCCCTACCCCCTTTAGAAGCTCGGGATATTCTGGCAGCTGGCCTATGCTCGTGGAATTCTGCTGCCACTCTTTACTGGCGCATGCTAACAACTCTGTGTAGACAATCCTCACGAATCGCGACTACTTTGCGCGCGGCTTTCCAGTCGCATCTACACACCTACCTCTACCCGCACAGTACAATCAGCATCCATGTTTCAGTCCTCTCTGCCGACGGATCCTTGCTGGCGGCTGCGATCAATGCTTGCACTCTGGCCCTGGTCGATGCAGGTATCCCCATGCCTGGACTACTCACTGGATGCACGTCGGGAATGAGTGGGAGCGCATCTACACCTCGCGATCCTCGAAACGACGAACTTGACCCGTTACTGGATCTGTCACTTCCGGAGGAGCAAGAGCTGCCATTTCTCACCGTCGGTACTACTACATGCGTACCCGTCGGAGAGAACCACATGGAGGACGAAGAGGAAGAGACTAAAGTAGCCGTGCTCAACATGGACTCTAAGGTTCATTTTACCTATATCGAGACGATGCTGGCAGTTGGGATGGACGGATGTAACCAGATCCGCGAGTTGTTGGAGGGCGTGATCAAAGGGTCGAATCGGGGATGAACCGTGGGAGTGAAACTGATACCCAGTGCATCTGTTGGCGTTAATGGGCGTGTCATGATTTCTTATTTACCTGCCAAAATCAAAAATCAACTTGAAATCTGCTCAATTCACCTCGTGGCACCTTTCACTGCCCTACCCTGAGGCAAAAACTGTAACCTTTCCACCTTTCCTTCCCTTCTTCCCTCCCAATTTTCCTTCTCTCTCTCTCTCTCTCTCTCTCTTTCTCTTTCACGACCTGCCTCTGAGCCTTACAGCTCGTTAAGCAACCCCAGGACCAATCTCCGTCATTTCGTTTTCCGCTTTTTCCTGGTGTTCAGCATGGAGGCAACAGGATCCATGCCGACGGGTATGTCACCAATGGCTTTCCCGACAACCATGGGTATGAACCCTTCGAATACAACAGGGCAAATGCCCGGGATGCCTGCGATGACATCAATGCCCGGCATGATGGGTTCGTCTTGCAAGATTGATGTGAGTTGACCAGAAACCATGTTCCAAGGAGCAGTACTGGGAGATCTTACTGAGACAATCCACTGTTTAGATGTTATGGAATTGGTACACAATCGATGCCTGTACGTGTCATTTCCTATGAACCTGTGTCACACTGTTCCAAAACATCCTAACGCTTCCTCTTTAGGCTTCCTCGCGCATTCCTGGCAAATCAAATCGCGCGGTATGTTCGCTGGCTCTTGCATCGGTGTCATCTGCCTCGTTCTGTGCTTGGAAGCTCTCCGTCGTTTGGGTAGGGAATATGATGCTTTTATCCTACGCCGAGCACGCCAACGTCGCATGTATCTGCATGAGAGTACCCTCGAGGGAAATGCTGAGGATCCGACGACCAAGAAACTCCCCGGAAACGGTGCTTTTGGAGCAAGCCTGCTCCCAAAGACGGGGGAGAATGGCTGTCACCAAGCAGCAGCAGAATCAAGACCAGCAGTGGATCAACAGGATCCTATTCTTCCGTCTCCTGGATCATCAAACGAGAATACCTCTGGTGAACCCCAGATCACTGCTACTGCCGTTGCCAATCGAGCAGACCAATCACTCGATCCGAGCCATAAAAGCCCCTGGTTCTCTGTCTTTCCTAAGCCTAAACCAGTGAATCAGCAGCAGTGGGAAAATGGTGTCCCCGCGTCCCCTCGCGTGGCCTGTTTTCCTTCGCAGGACATCCGTCACCGTCCGTCACCCATCGAGCAAGTGGTGCGTGCCTTGCTCCACACCTTTCAGTTTGGCGTGGCCTACATTGTAATGCTACTTGCAATGTATTACAACGGATACATTATCATTTGCATCTTCCTGGGCGCATTTCTGGGGTCTTTGATCTTTTCATGGGAATATGTGTCTTTGGACAAGCAGTAAGTCAGTCCCTGGGGAAGGAGTGTTGTGTTGCATGAGTGAAATGAAAATGCTGATTTAAGTACTCGAAATTTCAGAAATGATGCCTGCCAAGTTACAAAGTGCTGTGGTTAATCTGGTCCATTCTCTGTGGAAATTTCGCTTGAAGTTTTAATAACGATATCGCAATACGTGTGTGTTTGACCTAATGAACTACATTTTTTCACAATCAGTCGGATGGTTTCTTCTGCAATAATGATATTCTTAATCAACATTTTTATCCTGGGTGTGATCAAAAATACACAATATCATTATCCAAATGGGCATGGGCTTTCATCATATAAACATCAGCCGTATCTTCTTGGTTCGCAAAATTTCTGGCCAGCTGTATCCATCAAGACCAGTCTCTCTTCTCCTAGTCCATATCATCGCAATAACTTGCTTTGCAAGTGACACATCTCGGAGACCAGTTGCTGTGTAACAGGAATCGAACCACGAGGAAAAGAACAACTCCGATTCCGGGCCGACGGCCTCACATGCGGCAATGAAAGCAGGCCATATCAGAGTAGCTGTGCTTCCATAATGGCGATCTGCCACCTCTTGGGCTCTTGTCAAGGAATCCTTCACTGCGTCGACTTCTTTTTGTAAAAGAACGGCATCGAGATCGTATATGCGGCGATGGAAGTAGACCAGTAGGGCAGTGTACATTGCCCGTGCCCGCGCACTTTCAAATTGACTCTCCCCCTCGAATCTGTCAACTAGTATACTGCCTGTTCGACATGATGAGACAAGGAGATGTATACCCTTCTCCAACACTTTTGCTCGAACCCAAAATTCCTTCAGCTCCAATCCCCCTGCTCCATCCTCGGTCATAGATAGGTCTCTTTCATTGGCAAGACGGATCACCTGCGAGAGAAGCATCAGAAAGCTCTCAGTAACTCCATACATCTTAGGAAATAGAGTCAAGCTCCATCGACCTGGAATCGCTAGATGAAGATCACGCTGCGCTACATTGGGGTCCTTTTCCATGGCCATGATGTCGCCAGAGAATGTAACGCCAGGATAGATTCGGAAGGCTTCTTGGGGCGCGTCGTTGTCTGATATGTTGGTGTTGGCCATATTTGCACATAAGCTGTCAATACTTGTTGTTTCGGCCATTATGCGCATATACGCATAACAGTGGTGCAGGGCTCTTCGTTTGGAGGAAACAGTAGTCTGCGTGAAGCCATTGACACTGATAAATCTCTCTGCTTGAATCAAGCATGATATTCGCTTCTCTGAGTCTCCCTTTATCATCTGTATTGAAAATTAGTTCCACATGCAAGTCCAGTATCACAACCGTTGTGATACATACGTAAGCAGTAGAAAGGCTTAATAATGCCATCAACACTTCCTTATACTTGCTCCGTCTTGGGGAAGACATATTTGCTTCCTCGACACATTGAATCAAATGGTGCTGAGCAAGCTTCAAGTAGGAATTCCCGGTCTCGGTCCAGTGATCAATGCACGTTGCTGAATGTTGGCCCAGATGAAATGAGCTCGCACTCAAAAGGGAATTCAATAGCGCGAGACGTGCATTAGAGGCAGTGCCGCTCATTATAGTCTCTCCGAGTGTGCTGACTGCACAAGGCACAACTAGGTTTTTCCAAGGGACCTCTTGGCCATGCTCGAATGGCGATATCAAAGGAACAACTCTATCTCTGTAGTGTGATAGAAGAGGCCATACCTCCGTATTTCCATTGAGAGCCATGGGGAGGAATTCCAACGGCGGCTGCGGCGGCCGAATAGACTCTTCGCTCTCTTTGATTTCTGATGCTATTAGGTCCCATGATATTGGGTCGTGGTCTAGGGCATCATGGAAGCCATGGAAAAGGCTGGAGTAGCCAGACTGCACTAATGTAGGCGATAAAGAATTTGGCTCTATAAGCCAGTCTTCAATCGGAAGTATTGCTTCCTCTTCTTCCTCGGGGCTTGTGTTTTCTGTCTCCGGCGATTGGTCAAGTTTTGAAACCCCGAAAGGACCGCGGAACAGAGAGAAAGACGCAATAGTACTTGTGCTGAGCTCGAATCTTTCCAAATCTAGTAAGACTTGGTCAGGATCTCGGCCATATATAGAATCAATAAGTTCCTCGCTCATATGACGACGCTCGGCTTCTGTTCATTGAATTGGAGAGTCAGTGGGTTTGAAAAGAAGTTCTGAGTACCCTAGCAAGAACAAACCCGTAAAGATTGCATGGCGATGCTTCGCCGCATTTTCGGCGCTTAGCCTGCGAACACCTTGGTGGCTATCAATGAATGTCAAGCGATGTACTGAGGGGTTGGCTCGCGATTTGCCTGTACGAGTAATTCGAGGTAAAGTGGAGCTCGTGGAAGTAACCGGAGATCGTCGTTGGGGTTCCCTGCGATTCTGCATAACACACAAATATTGGGAGATTGCAGGTCAATAGTGCAAGTCAGACCGGATGACTGAAACTGTTGTATTTCAGATAGAGAAGGTAATGTTTCTAATGATAATGATTTACATGACTTTGCTCTCATGGGGGAGCCCCGCAGCTATTTGGTCCAGTTGTTCAGGAAAGGGATGTGATTCCGAGAACATGCGGGGTTATCACGCCCGACCATATCTCGACGATAGGTTTCGTCTAATAACCTTTCATTCAAGACCACACTTGCGATTTGAGCTCTACATCAGATGTGCCAGGTTGAGTAAAGTTCAGAATAATTCCATATGGGTCATCGTTTCATATGTATCTTCCAAAAGGGGGTTGCCTCTGGGAGGGCAGAGGTGTTAGACCCGTATTTATGAAAATTAATTGAAGACGAAGCAGCTAAATTTTAAATTTTAAAGCTTTCCTTTGCTTTGCTTTTTGGGAGGGAGACTTGGTTGTTAAATACTCGGAACTTGTTGATGGTCTCGGAGAGACCTGCCGTTGAGGCGAAACAAGGCTCCGCCAACCCAGAAACAAGCCCCGATATAGCCCACTTCTCGAGCAACTAGATGTACTCCAAGTTACTGTACAATGTTCTTCAATGATAGTATTCCTTCACCCAGGTTTTGATCTGAGCGACCTCTGCATCAATAATATCCTGGACACCCTTGTTTGCAGCACCATTCTTCAGAAGGAGGTCGGAGCAATGGAATCCCCCCCGGAATAACATGAAGAGGGGCTGATGCCGTTGATTGAAGTGGACCACCTGGACGAGAGATTGAGGACACACCGGAATCTCTCCAAGGATCAAATTGTCTGTTGATAGTATCAGGATTGTAACCCTTCAAGTTGTCTACGGATCAGAGGAGACGTACCCGTTTGCCCAGATGAGTCTGGTCGTATTGGTCAAATCCCAACCATTGGTCCATGAATTCACATCCCCCGCTGTTTTCCCATTTGCGCTACCGAAAGTATGGCCGTTGACCTCTGGGAAAAATAATGGACATTGCCTTTGCCAGTACTCTGCGTTGACTGTACGAGAGACGAGAGTTGAAACGCTAGACGGCGCAGCACTGGAAAAGAGAAATAGTCAGAACCTGGCCCAGATAAAAGAAAATTAGCCGGTCTCGCAAGAGAACATACTCTTGCCAGTAGAAAAGAGGCTCGTTACAAAGAAACCACTGCCACTGCCTATCGATGGCGTTGTCGACGGATCGATCTGTGAAGAGGGGACTAGATGCATTGTGAGTGTCGTAGCATGCTGTAGTACTATTATCGGTCCAATAGCCATATTTGGAACATGCTGTATGCTATGTAAATACTTGATCATTCTTCTTGAACCTGGAATTGGCTTACATCCTGGAAAGTAAATGTCCTTAAACCACTTGGCATAGCCATGGAGGGCTTTGTTCAGGCCAACGCCGTTAGGGCCTGGGAGGCGTTTGGATCCCTTCTGGACATTCTGCTGCGATATTAGCACCAAACGAGAGTAGGTTTTGAAGTAGATGACCGACTTCAACATAGTCACAAAATTGATAAAACTCCGAGTAGCCGGTATAGAAAGTGTTTGATTGCCATAGCCAGGGCCCATTCTGGAGCGCACTTCTTACTGTTAGTCATAATACCTCTTCTTCAAAAGAGTTTGGCTTTACCTTGCAAAATCATCAAAGTGCTCAACATCGCCGAGGCCAAACAAATCTTTCAGCTTCTGAACTTGATGCTTTGACCCTGATTTTCCGATACTGTCGACATAATCAATTACTCTCGTGATATCTTTGCTGCAATTTTGTGGCATTCCTTCTTGCACAGGAGTAAAATATTGCCACTGGTTACCCTAGTTAGTCAATTCGTATCTTCGGATCAGTGATACAACGTACGAAGTCATAAATAGCCTGTACAGGTGCACTTGATGCATGGTAGGCCCAGAAAGTACCTGGGGAAGTCGATTCGGTCCAGGCTGAGAGAGCACCACTATAGGACCCTCCACTGAGGACCCACGGCTGTCGAGGCCGTATTAGTTTGGGGTCACGATATCTCTTCAGATTGAGGAGCATACCGCATTTTGAGCATTGCTACTGCTGTTGGTGTCGAAAGAGAGGTTCACATTTTTCGCAAAATATGTGAGATCGGCAATAGAATTCGCCAATGTAAGGTACCTTAAATTTTCCGTCGTTAGATCATCGTATGGGGAAGATTGACCCCAGTAACGATCTGAACAAGTTAATTTCCGCAATTATCCGGCCGCCGGTATATTTCAGGTCTTACGTTCGATCATTAGCACTGCTCCTTTTAGTTCCTTTGCAAGACGACCCGTAAGGGTTTTGTTTGTTAAGTAACCACCATAACCATCAGCTGCACTCTCGCCGGGAGTAAAAAGCACAACCTATATCTCTTCATATCAGTGCTTTGTCGAACCAAAAAAAAGGTCAAAAGTCTGAACTACCGGTGAGCCTTCCCCTGACCACCATTCTGAGTTCCACCAGTAACGCTGGGAAAATGTTCCGAGGTGTGGGTTTTCGTGATCAATTAGCTGCTGAAATGTGGAATTACCAGTAAAAGAAACCAATTCCGCTGAAGATGGTGGTGGAACGGGCTTCGGGGGTATAGCTCCATGTACAGCGGATGCGTAGAGCATGGACGACGCTATATACAGAAGAGAATGCATGGCGAACGGTGGGAGACGGGGATGGAAAGTAAAACCACAGACACTGACCCCAGCACGACATGAAGCCCCTTTTATGTTCCATTGCGATCACATTATACCCGGAACTACAGCTCTGCGACGCTAATGCACTGAGGTTGCGGTTTCATTCTATCGTACACAACTCAAGATGGGACTAGTCTCAGAAGAGCCAAGAGATGATAATGGGTGGGCCGGAAGACTCAGAATAGTGGATATATGTGATTATCACTGGCTCGGCGCCCGGGAATTTCGACGTAGCTCTGAATTTTGTGAGCCTAGGGTGATCTTGTTAGACAGAGCCGAGTCTCTGCCCGGCCAATCAGATAGAATGACGGGGACATAGGAACTCGCAAGAGTCCCAGATAAGGGCCCCAGTGGTCGCAATGGCTCATTAAGCTTGCTTAACATTCTTTAGGTGGATTTTGCGTGCAACCATTATTTCGTAAAGGGACGCCGGCGTAAGACTAGCCTGGGAAATTGCCGTCGGACGCCCGGGATGGTGGGAGTTGGGAAATGAGCTGGCCAAGAACCCCGCTTCCCACCCCCTCTTCATACTAGTTATTGTACTAGTAATATTGATTGTCCCAGATTCTGTGCAGTGCAAGACAAGGGGATTTGATCGTTGGAAATATGAAGTTCCAACGCTGCCGTAAATTATTCGTATATCGGGCGACACAGCATTAATGACCCTCTGATTTGTCGTAATTGGTTCAATCAGGCCCCCAGAGCACAGAGTGGCCTGTTTTTTATTTTCTTGAAAAGAAAGCCTATCTGGCCTTGTCAATATAATGAATTCCAATAATCAATAATGGGCCTTGACCTTGGAAATAGATTTTAATTCTCAACCGGATCTTCTCCACAGGTTGACTCCGCGGTTTGAGCCACTTGTTCGTAGGTATCAGCGTTACAAAAAATTGGTCGTGTAGATATCTTGGACAAGAATGCAAATTAGATGGAGGGAAATCATTCACAAGTCTTTCGCAAAGATAAAAGGGAGGCGACCCTTGTAAAACAATTGTGTTCCTTGTTATCTTCACCTTCCAGTGACGATGTGGACCCACAATAATTTCACGGATCTCCATTGGCAGATGCGTTGTTAAGGAAAGTGATCGGGACAGGAATGGTGGATCCCGCCGCTTGTGCGAGAAAGTAATTAAGCCTCAATGCTTGGTCCGATTCTACAAGATCGGAAGGTGATGATCTCTTGGGATGTCATATCAATCATTACTTTCTATAATAATGTTCTACCCCACAATTCATGTTTGTGGAGTTCTTGCTCAACCGAACTATAAATTCGGTGCTCCATCTCTTCAACAAATTCACTATCTGTGAGTGAACACGTCTTCAAAGAATACTAGTACCTAGATACCTCAGGAAATTTATCAGCAACACAATTAGAGCAAAGTTGCCTTCCCACGAACCACAAGATGTCCGAAGCAATCGACTTTTCTCTATTGAAGGGAAGCCCCAGAGGAGAGTAAAGCCGTCTCAGCGGCATTGCTCGCCACATTGAAGACCCGAGGTGTTGCCAAATTGAAGAACCACGGTCTCCCTGCAGAGCTCATTGCAGAGATGTTTGACTATGTGAGTAGAATTTTTCTGAGAGAAATGATCTAAGCTAACCAATGTCCTTAGACCAAAAAATTCTTTGCACTTCCGTTAGAGGACAAGATGATCGCGAAGCACCCTCCCGAGTCTACCCCAAACCGCGGGTACAGCTACGTTGGACAGGAGTCAGTCGGAAGTATTAGTGGGTATGAGAAAGGCGTGTCTGAGGGGAAGCAAGTGCGAGATATCAAAGTATGTTGTCCAACCAAAACCATTCAAGCCAGTATGCTAATGGCACCAAACAGGAAACCATTGACATCGGCTCGGCGCATGATGATCTCGTCGACAACATCTGGGTACCAGAGGAGAAAGTTCCCGGATTCCGGAAGTTCATGGAAGGCTTTTACGAAAGTGCTTTCAAAGTCGAGCTCGAAATCTTAGCCGCGCTCGCCATTGCCCTTGGAATCCCCGAGGATGAGATGAAAATGCTACACAGCAAAGGCGAAAATGAGTTTCGCCTACTTCACTACCCAGCAATCCCTGCATCAGAATTAAGTGATGGCACTGCAACACGCATTGCTGATCACACAGATTTCGGCACCATCACCATGCTGTTCCAAGACTCAGTTGGTGGACTACAGGTAGAGGACCAACAGAACCTGGGCACCTTCCGAGGAGTAGAGTCTGCGGATAAGTCAGAGATCATTCTGAACATCGGCGACTCATTGCAGCGGTTGACAAATGACACTTTCCGGGCTGCAGTCCATCGGGTCACATATCCTCCGACGGTCAAGGTTGGCTCGGAAGAGATCATTCCTGAGAGGTTCTCGATTGCTTATTTTGCGAAGCCCAATCGCACAGCTTCGCTATTCCCTTTCAATAAGTTTATTACACCTGCAACGCCGTGTCATTACGAGGACATTACGGCTTGGGAATATAACAACTTGCGTATCACTAAATTATTCAGTGGAAAGGCTTGAGTTTCAAGTTAGAGTTCCAGGGCGGGTTTTAATGGATTCGGAATAGAGATTAAGAAATTGAAATTCATCATTGTCAATAAAATAAATCGTAACTAGTATTACTTGAGATCTTACCGAGTGTACCCTGAATTTTTTAGAATCGAGCGATTTGTATATGTAGAGCCTGAATAGCTTCACTGAGGGGGGTGAGCCTTATAGGGAACCCTGGTAATTTTGGGACTGTACCTTAGTCAAGTGCATGATTGTGGGGATGATCAAAGGGTGGTCCACAGTAAAAAGAGCTTGGTGCTGTTCTGACCAATTACTATGTACTATGTGGGTCCAGCTGATCTGCAATTCACATTGTTGGAAGATGTTTCTGTGCATCTTTCACCACTTATAGAGACGTTCTTCCTCTATATTTTAAATCAAAGACATACATTTCAAGATTAGCACGTTAGCTCAGCGGAAGAGCGCCGTAAGTCAGCTGACAATCCCGTTTGAGAAGCCACGCTAACAGAACATAGAGGCTCATAACCTGGAGGTGTGTACCTTCCTCAACAGCAACCTCACTACCATTCACTAACATTCACAGGCCCTTGGATCGAAACCAAGACGTGCTACTCTTTTTTGATTTTCTTTTCCCCCTCCTGTCAGTTTTCTTTGTTCTGATCAATTTTGATCTATCTTTTGTTTCCTTTTCTTGCTCTGGTCAACCACCTATAGAAAGAAGTAGACCAGGGCATGAAAAGTATACTTAGACAAGAACTTACAATAACCTTGATTGCCACAATATCTAGAAACTCCTATTCCTGTGCCTTTTGAATTTATTGCAAAGTATATTTTGCGAGTCACTTAGGTCTACTCTGATTGGCTGGCTCGATGTGTCCATTTTGACAGACAAGTACTAATACTCCACATAAAAGCTTGGCATCCATGGATGGACGATAGCTCTCTCAACTATTCAACCACACAACATTTCTGTCTAGTTCATATACCTTGGAAAGCCAAGCATCTATAGTCAGGGTTCCCCCAACCGAATACCTCGACTATTCCAAGCTCTCCTAATCGGGAGCGACGATCTACACTCAACGAGTCGCAAGTCGCAAGTCGCGAAGCTCCCGCGCGCCGTATTTACTCGATAGGGCCAACATGTGAAGACATCACTATGATTCTAAACCTTACACAAGGAGAGCCCTGCCGCAAGGAGGATGCATAAATAGCTGAGTAGACTGTCTAAATTACAATGTGAAGAGCAGCGAAACCCACCAGACACGAAGCCGGCCAGACGCATTTTTCATCGACCAGGCAAAAGCGAGAGGGAGATGGGCT